GTGTGTATGTGTTTGTGTGTCCATGTATGTGCATTCGTATTCGATAGCTATAATATTGTCGTACTTCACTACTCACCTTAACTTTTACACACACACACACACGCGCACACATACATACATATACAAATACTTGGATTCTATAACAAAGCAGAGTATCAGGTTTTTTTCAACACACACAGGAGGGAAGGGGGAGGGGATATAGAGAGGTTGATATACAGAGAAAAGGGTAAAAAGCGGTAGTTAAAATAAGACTGAGAGAAATGAGTAGATAGAGGTGTATATATAAAAACAGAGAGAAGAGGTAGAGAGGTGGATATAATTAGACAGAGAGAAGGAGTGGACATAGATGGATATAGTAAGATACAGAGAAGGGGGTATAGAGATGTGGATATATAAAAACAGGGGATGCAGAGAGAGGTGGATATATAAAGACATAGAGAAGGGGGTAGTGGTGGATATATAAAGACATAGAGAAGGGGGTAGTGGTGGATATATAAAGACATAGAGAAGGGGGTAGTGGTGGATATATAAAGACATAGAGAAGGGGGTAGTGGTGGATATATAAAGACATAGAGAAGGGGGTAGTGGTGGATATATAAAGACAGAGATTAGAGAGTAGAGAGGTATGTATGTGTGTGTTTATGATTCTGCCGCTGTGGAGTAAGATAACTCCAACTAACCCAATACTCAAACGCAACCATGTTTAGTTAATCTGTATCTTTTGACTCCGGGTTCAAGTCAGTAGACCGTCCCTGAGGTCACACAGCTCAGAAGGGTACCTGAATCACGTTAGGTAAAGTAAATTAGGCCGATCATAGTGCTGACCACACTATCCCTTCATATGCCAAGGTCACAGAAATAAGTAAACTCTACCGCACTTGCCCCATAGACCCTCAGGTTTGGAAGCGAAACTTTTGTAATATGCATCCTTTATTGCCGACTTCTGCATTATGGAACAAAGAGATTGAGATGCAGAGTTGTTTTAGTGACCCTCTCTCTCTCTCTCTCTCTCTCTCTCTCTCTCTCTCTCTCTCTCTCTCTATCTCTATCTCTTATTCTCTCGCTCTCTCACACACACGCACTTACAAACTTCTAAACGTATTGAAACGTTCACTAATAAGGAATAATACAAGTTAAACACACATTTTTTTAAAAAAAAACTTCTTAATTTCCTAAATATGTGAAACATCAGACAATGTTATCAATTAAGCAATTTATTATTAAAAACGATACTCATCTAACCTTCATTTTTTCGACCGTGAATAGGTGAGTTACCGGCCCAGAAAACCAATAACTCACCTCGTATTACTTTTTACCTGTGTATCTACACCACTAGGGAGCGCAAATATTGCCCCCACCCCCCATTTTTAACTAACACTGCCGGTGCCACTAGGCACTAACCCAACTTGACATTTGAAACATGTACGGTTTATTTATAGACGCCTGGGTTAATTTGATTGCAGTTTTGGTTCAGGTGTTGATGATGATACTCACCAGGTACCAAGGTTGGATTGTAAGGGAGAGGGAGGGGGGCGGGGGGCTGAAGTCATGGAGTGACAGGGGTGCAGATTGGAGGAAGTGTGGGGGGGGAGTAATTAATGAGTGCATGTAATGAGTTGTTCGAGCGTTGGATTAATGAGATTAGATGGATTAGGGAAGGGTTTGTAGAATAAATGTGATCGGGGTTGGTGGGTTGGGTAAGTGGTGATGGGGTAGGGTGGAGGGGTTGGAAAATTGGTTTTTGATGAAGAGTTCTTTTAAAGTATGGTTAAGTTGTGGGTGTTGGATATAGGGGTTGAATGGAGGAGGTTGAATGGAGGGGTTGGATGGAGGGGTTGGATAGAGGGGTTAGATGGAGGTGTTGGATGGAGGGGTTTGATATATGGGTTGGATGGAAGGGTTGGATGGAGGGGTTGCATGGAAGGGTTGGATGGAGGGGTTGGATGGAGGGGGATGGAAGGGTTGGATGGAGGGGTTGGATGGAGAGATTGGATGGAGGGGTTGGATGGAGGGGTTGGATGGAAGGGTTGGATGGAGGGGTTGGATGAAGGGGTTGGGTGGAGGGGGATGGAGGGGTTGGATGGAGGGGTTGTATGTAGGAGTTTGAAGTGTTTTATTAAAAATATAATCTACACTATATTTCAAACATTCCTCACTTGTAAACCCCACCTAAATCAAACATTCCTCACATGTAAACCCCATATAAATTTGTTGAACTATGTGCTCAGGGATGGTAGCTTAGACGGACGAGTTATGTTGCGTGGTTAAGGGTTCTAAAATTACTTTTGGCTCATACACTAGAGGCAAGTTTCTAAAACAACCAATCCTAGCCTTCTCTAGGAATGACACAATAGACAACATCCTAGAGAAAATAGCGAACTAACATTATGGTTTTTTAAATTAGGAGACTTAAAGATAAACCGGCACTGGTTTTTGGAACTGACTACGTGGACGCCTGCCACTTTTAAATCGGATGCCCTCTCTAAAACTGCTGGCTGCCAGAGGCGTAGCGATCTATTCTGGCGTCTGGTTCGAAATATCAATTCTATGTCCCATATTCATATTTGGCTTTCACGTTGGTAAAATTGCGCCCCCTCCCACAATTTGGAAAAGTCGCGGCGCTTTTTATTACCATGTCACATATCTGGTGTAAAAAACAGTGAAATAAGTCCGAAAAAGCCAAGTAGCAGTCTATTTTCTTAACATCGACTGGAGAACTCAGTAATGCGGCTCAAAATATGATATTTAAATATATTTTTTTACTACTTTTTTGGCGCTCTCTGGGGTCGGCGCCCGGGGAAACTGCCAGACTTGCAGAGTTTCTTACAGGCATCTCTTCGGGGGGGGGGGGGGGATGTTCAATTCTCCCCCCCCCCCCCCCCGGAAAAAATTCTACCGCCCCCCCCCCCCCCGAACGAAATGAAATTTATATAATTTATATAGAAAATAAATACTTTTAACAGTGTCCGCCCCCCCCCCCCCGAAGAAAGTCTACCGCCCCCCCCCCGAAAGTCTCAAGTGCCCCCCCCCCCCCCGGAGAAAAAAGTCTGGAAGAAACACTGCTGACTTGCTCTCCCCTCGCTACGCCTCTGCTGACTGCATTTCAGTTGTATTAAAGAAAATATTTCACCCTAGACGAAGAATATGCCACTGTTAAAGATAAATGAAATGAAAAGGTTAACAGCATTTAAATGGTAAATCCATTATTTCAAATTTAAATGTGAAATTAATGTCATATTGTTAAATTAATCTTATATTAAATTAATGTCATTCGTCTAAGCGACGATAAATACAGTGTCATCAAATACATAACAAGTTGTTTGTTATCATAGTTTCAAACCTGAGGTTAAAACTGTAGCATTGTAGCTGCTGATGTGACTGCCCGTGAATGTTCCCTTCTTTACAAGGCTGTAGAAGTTCAACCAAATGTAACTACACACTTTGTTTAGCTCGTAGCCACTGTGAGACGGTGGAGTTATGACAAACGAACAGGTGTCTTAAAAATTTAGTTAAATGCTATGTAATTAAATGGAGGTGCGTATTAAGCTTAAGAACTTTTTAGACGTAATATATATGGTTCCCAGAAAAATGCACAATAGGAAAACTTTGCAACGAAAAAATGCGCAAACAGAACAAAGCGCAATCGATAAACTGCGCAACGAAAAAATTAACATACAAAAAATGCGCACATACATTGATGTCATATTTCGTGGAAATATCTTTTATTATGCTACAGTGTACATGTAATCGCTCTTTGTTAATGTCTGTAAATGCTCGATTGAATAAAACAAAAATGTGCTTGCCCACTTTCTTGTGCGCATTTTTTCCGGTGCGCAGTTTTCCGTTGCGTATCTTTTCGATAACCAATATATATATAAAATATATATATATATATATATATATATATATATATATATATATATATATATATATATATATATATATATATATATATATATATATATATATATAAATATATATATCATGTATGTATGTTTGTGAGTGTGGTTGTGTGTATTGGCGTATTTGTGTGAGTGTGTGTGTGTGTGTTGTTTTAATACATATACAATGTAATATTTAAATTTGTTACATTTTGATTCTTTAATCTTCGTAGTGTAATGTAAAGAAATATAGTAAGTTTCTGTGGCAGTCCTTAAACTGTTGTGAAGTTGTGTCATCGTGATCAGCTGGGCTACAGCGCCATAGTTATCTGTGCTTATCCAGCCCACCATAAACGTCACCATTGTGAATGTGTGTATTGCTAGTGTGTTTTGGCTATGTGTGTGGTAGTGCCTTGTTTATCTACGTATTCGTGTTATAAACGTGTTTCTTATAACGCGGATTCTCAGAGTTTCTTTCAGGCATTTCGTTGTGCTGGATAAGCACAGTCCCGTCCCATGAAGTACGTCTAACCCCCCCCCCCCTCCTCCCCCTTTTAAGCACGTCCAAACAAAATAGAATGTAAATACAAAATATTATATTTGACCAGTGTTGCCCCCCCTCCCCCCCCCCCACAGAACCACGTGTACGAAATATAATTTATTTACATCATATATACTTTAACCAGTGTCCGCTACCCTCCGGATATTTAAGTCGACCCCCCCGCCTCATAGAGTTTCTTCCAGGCATCTTTTCCAGGCATCGCCGAAGAAAGTCAACCCCCCCCCCCCCGCCCCCACCGTCGAACGAAATGAAATTTATATAGAAAATATATACTTTTAACTGTGTCTGCCCCCCCCCCCCAATTCGTCCTCCCCCCCCCCCCCGAAAATTTCAAGTGCCCCCCCCCCCTGGAGAAAAAAAGTCTGCAAGACACATCCCCCCCCCACCCAAGTAGAAAATTGTCTGAAAGAAGCACTCCGGATACTATCATTTTAGTGTGAATTATAGTTTTATAATATATGCCTAATGTTTTATTTTTGTTTAAAAGCTGCGTGTTTTGTTTTTTTTTTCCATTTGTTTTGGTTGACATGATTCAAGTTTTTAAAAATCCTCTTCAGAACGAAATCCACTGTTATGGGCAAAACAATGATTCAAGCTAAATCCAGCAGAAACGACCTCAAGATCACTCCGCCTAACTACGACACAGGTAAGGTCGGTTTGTGTCTTGGAATAATGTAAATGATGTGAAGGTCTTTGTAGATTTGGAATATAGACCTACCGTGGACCTGCATTGTTAGTAGGTTGTTCCCAGAAAATGCGCAAAAAATAAAAATTCGCAAATATAAACTGATCAAACTAATGCACTTTCATTGTGTTATATTTTGAATAAAAACATATTTTAATAAGCAACAATGTTTACTGACGTCTACAATGATCGATTTAAAAATAAATTCCATGTGCGCATTTTCGTGTGCAGTTTCACATTTCGCAGTTTACCGTTTCGCGTGTTTCTTGTCACCCTAAATACACACTAGCTCGCGGATATCGGTTTCGCATGTTCCTGATCACCTTTAACACACACTTGCTCTTTAGTTTAACGATTGTCTGATGTTTGATGATTTTCTGATGTCTGATGATTGTCTGATTTTGATTTCAGAAGAACCAGTGCGAATCCAGGTTCTGTTATACGTGTCCAGTATTGATGACGTGAACGAGGCTAACATGGTACTACACTCATATCTGTTCTGTTGTTGCACATTTAGATCGTGGAACGCTTATGTAGCTTTTAAAGGAAGAAAAGAGACATTATAAAAGAGACATTTTTTATAAAAAACTTGAGATTAATTTACGACTGAAGCTTAAAATTATTTCAGTTCACAGTGAACATTGATTAAAAAGAGGGATATATATATGTATGTATGTATATATATATATATATATATATATATATATATATATATATATATATATATATATATATATATATATATATAAAACTAGACTTGAGTTTAAAGAAAAGAATAAGCTTAATATTATGTCGGTGCTATAGTGTAAGGATTATCAAGGGTTATATTCAGAAGCTAGATTTTTTTGTGGGAGCTTATCTCAATGGGAGCTTAATGTTTTGCAAGAGCTTAATATACAAGCCAGGCTTGCTGTTTCTTCATTTATCTTAATCTACTACAGACGGGAGCCTTTTTTGTCTTAACTTGAGCTAATTAGGCGATTCCTCGATTGATGTGGGTCTATTAGGGTGGAGCTCATTTGACTTGGGTTAATTAGGGTAAAGCCCATTAGGTTTTCATCTATTAGGATGGAACCCATTATTATTGTACATCATTGGGATGAAGCTCATTTAACAAGAGCGGAGATGACTGTCCTTCTTAACGACTTATTTTCAAACCTTTTCCTTGAGTTAAATTTTATACCACATCACCAAAACTCATGTCAATGTAAATCTTATTAAAATACCGTACAATGAACCTCTCGCTTCCTTTTTCCCTAAATTCTAGGACTTTACAGTCGGCATTCTGCTCCACCTCAGGTGGGTAGATAGCCGGTTCAACTCCAATTACGCCGATAATTATTTCAAGACGCATAACTCCTCCATCGACTTCGACTCTGAGAACATCAAACAGGTCTGGGTGCCGGATATTTTCTTCCCCAACGAGAAGCGGGGGTCGTTCCACAACATTATGTCCCAGAACCAGATCATGTCCCTGAACCCTAACAGTACTCTACTGTATATCTCCAGGTGAGAAATGTTTTGATACTTAAATGGAATCTTAACACATGACTTATATACATAGTATCTCCAGGCAGTGGCGGATCTAGAAAAAAAGGCTCCCCCGCAAAGAAAAAATTAGGGCCCCTATATATATATATATATATATATATATATATATATATATATATATATATATATATATATATATATATATATTTATCCTAACTGAGTAATTTAGTCTACTTCATTGCAATAATAACCATTCTGAGAGAACAAACCAGAAAAAATTTAGTCCAAACTCGTTGTGTGATACCTAAATATCATGAAAATGCTGGTCAAAAATATATAAAGACGTTAGCTTGATTCGTGAATGGTTTCTCGCGTTATGTTTATTTTTTTCATTTTTGGCTTTTATAATATCAATTTTGAAAACATTGATTTTTAAATCTATACTATTGTATAGTACGTCTTATTTACGTAACAATTCAGAGAATCAATTGCTTTTTAATATACATAGTACAAAACTATTTAAATGAGCTCTTGTAGATTTTAAAATATTTTTCTACGCAACAATCTCTGCTATAGTAGACCTGTTGTTTTTTTTTTTTTTACAAAACCACTTTCAAGATGCATGAAAAACATAATTTTTGAAAAAAAAACTAAATGTTTTTGGTCGGAACTGGGCCCCTAAACGTCCTGGGCCCCCCCGCATTGCGGGGTCTGGCGGTATAGTAGTTCCGCCCCTATCTCCAGGTGAAAAATTTCTTGATACTTTGGTCGAACCTTATATAACACCTTAGGTATATATAAAACCCTCTTGTATATCTAAAGATGAGAAATATCTTAATACTTAGGTGGAATCTTAAATAAAACCTGAGAAATGTATAAGACGCCCGTATATCTCCATGTGAGAAATGTCTTGATTGTTAGGTGGAACCTTAAATTACCCCTGATACTTATATGATATTATATAGTTTGCATATGTATACATATATATAAATATATATATATATATATATATATATATATATATATATATATATATATATATATATATATATATATATATATATAATGATTGCATAATGATATATAATATCTAAAGATGAAATATCTTGATACTATGGTGGAACCTTAAATTACACCCTAGACAAATATACCATTGTTATACATGTCAAGGTTTTAAAAAAAATTCCTTATTCTTATGTGGAACCTTCAGTTAAATCAGAGTTTATCTAAAAATCCAAAATTGACGGTCATGTTTAGCGATGCCCAGTATTTTACATAATTCATTTTTTTTTTTCATTTCCCTTCTATGATTTTTAACAAAGAAAGACTCCAACAAACGATACACGCTATATTAGTTGTTTTTAATTTATATTTTATGAAGAGCAAACGTCAACAGTTTCAAATGTTCACAATCTCCTAAATCTATTTTCAATAAACCGGGAGTGATCTCCCCTAAACTTTCTCGAATATTCTAATATAACATTACGTTGGATGTCAACTCGGAATATAGACATGATTTTTGTTTACTTGAACTTTTAAAAATAGAATAAAATCTAGTAGAAAAAAAAATTGCGCATCAAGCGAGCACCAAAACCAAATGTGCGTAATAGTGCGCAATATTATTAGTACTTTATAAATTTACATGCGTTTTTTGAGAAATCGGAAATAGCGTAAATTAGTACTTCCAGTCAACGGAAATTACTCAAAATTTGATAGAAGGTAGAGAATTAGATCTTTTACTTACATGTGAAATTTCATTTATCTATCTGAATTAGTACTCAAGTTATAGGCTTTTGAAAAATTCAAAGTAGAAAAAGTACCACTTCCGGTTATCGGAAATCGCTCAAAAGTTGATACGGATCTACGATTTTGATATAATACTTATATATGAAATTTCATCAACCTAGCTGTAACGGTACTCAAGTAATCGTGTTTACACACAGATAGACACACAGACACACAGACACACACACACACAGACATACGGACAAGATTGCAAAATTATGTTTTTCCGTATCAGTGAGGTGTAAAACGTCGAGATTTGTAAAAATCTCGACTTTTTTTTGCACGATTACAATACTTTCTCTATACTACGTATATACGAGAAAGTAAAAATGGTGTCTCGAAAATGTGCAATGAAAATAAATTAAATAAACTTCCCTTTTCTGACCTAATTATCAACTGAGCAGATGAAGTAGAGTTCAGATGTTTCTTGACCTCGACATAGATCTAGGAAGAAATAGTATGGTCGGGAATATGTCCAGCAGCCTATACTTTCCCTAACACAAGTCAGATTACGTGTTTTAGTCAGTCAATGTTCTGAATCCACTCTAAATCTGTTGCCTTCTCAGACTGACCATGACCCTAAGCTGTCCTATGGATCTCAAGAACTACCCATTTGATAAGCAGATATGCACCGTATTGATCATGAGCTGTAAGTTTTGTTGTCGTGTCTATTACTTTAGTTGGTGCCAGACATGCTTAAGTTGGGGTTATTCCTGCCTGGATTAGAGTGTGTTAGGGATATACATGTCTGATAGGACACTGGGTTAGTGTATGGGTCAGTGCTTTGTCTGCCTACTAGGACAGAGTGTGGGTTAGTTTTTTTTACAATTTCGCAACGTTAGTTTGTATCTTTGTTAGTGGGTTTGTAGCAAATCTTGTAACTCAACTTTGATCAACTTCTAATGTAGCGATTTTGTTCAAATTTTTCAGAAACCTTATTCTTTGAGGACGATGCATGAATATCATTTTTTAAAATCTTATTAGACATTGGATTAGTCGTTAAAATCGAATTAAGTGGTTTTAAAACTAAGGAAATATATAAATATTAAACGCTAACGATCACGGTTTGAGTGAATGAAATTATCGTTTTCTTTCTTTTTTCACTAGTCGCTTACACTTACAGAGATGTAGATTTTGAGTGGATGAAATTATATTTCTTTCTTTTTTCACTAGTCGGTTACACTTACAGAGATGTAGAGCTTGAGTGGATTAAATTATCGTTTTCTTTCTTTTTTTCACTAGTCGGTTACACTTACAGAGTTGTAGAGTTTTAGTGGATGAAATTATCTTTTTCTTTCTTTTTTCACTAGTCGCTTACACTTACAGAGATGGAGAGTTTGAGTGGATGAAATTATCGTTTTCTTTCTTTTTTCACTAGTCGCTTACACTTACAGAGATGTAGAGTTTGAGTGGATGAAATTATCTTTTTCTTTCTTTTTTCACTAGTCGGTTACACTTACAGAGATGTAGAGCTTGAGTGGATTAAATTATCGTTTTCTTTCTTTTTTTCACTAGTCGGTTACACTTACAGAGTTGTAGAGTTTGAGTGGATGAAATTATCTTTTTCTTTCTTTTTCACTAGTCGGTTACACTTACAGAGATGTAGAGTTTGGGTGGATGAAATTATCTTTTTCTTTCTTTTTTCACTAGTCGGTTACACTTACAGAGATGTAGAGTTTGAGTGGATGAAATTATCTTTTTCTTTCTTTTTTCACTAGTCGGTTACACTTACAGAGATGTAGAGTTTGAGTGGATGAAATTATCTTTTTCTTTCTTTTTTTTCACTAGTCGGTTACACTTACAGAGATGTGGAGTTTGAGTGGATGAACGGGACTGAGGCCGTGGAGATTCAAACGGAATCGCATTTCAAGCCAATCATCGTCAACAGTGATGTGATGTTGCCGCAGTTTGAAATCAAGGACGTTCGCGCTAACTTCTGCAACCGCCGCTACCACCAGAGGGAAGGTGAGTTGTTTTGGACAGAGTTTCTATCAGGCATCTATTAGGGTATCGAGGGGGGGAGGCTTCGTCCCCCCCCCCCCGAAGAAAGTCTAACGCCCCCCCCCCCCCCCCTCCGAACGAGATGGAATTTATATAGAAAAGATATACTTTTACCAGTGTGTCCCCCGTCCCCCCCGAAAAATGTAGACCACCCCCCCCTCCCCCCGAAAATATGAAAATATCAAGTCCCCCCCCCCTCCCCCCGAGAAAAAAAAGTCTGAAAGAAACACTGGTGTTAAACTCGGGTGTTCAGTTGCCAGGGTGTTGTAGTGTTAACTTTTGTGTCAGAGGTTTATAGTGCAGTACATTTTTATGTCACAGTCTCATGGGGGAGGGGGGTTCAAATTTTTTACCATTATATATATATATATATATATATATATATATATATATATATATATATATATATATATATATAAGATCTTATACGTATACTATCGAAGATTACATATTTGCACTTTGCTTTTTCTAAAATTCATGCATATAAACACTTTATTCTTAAATCAGTAATCACATAACTATGAAACTGTCATAATTTGTCCTTCCATGTCCTATCTTGTCCAAATTTGTTCATTAATTCCGTCACTAACAAGTGGAGTATACTTTATTATTATCCTGCGGACGTTGGGTGTTAAAATCTCGCGCTTTTGGCGCACTTTGACATGGGGAAACACGGTCAAAACATCTTAAAGGGAGGTAACAAAATGGCTGCTATGGTAAAAATGTTTTTAAGGTACGTTATCAAAGACTAACAAGTATATTAATCAGGCAGTGTGATGCAAGGTAAATCGTAAAATCTGGATTTAATCTCTTTTTATTGAAATAAAAATTGAAGAGAACAAAGACTTTGATATCAACCTTTTAAAATAATAAATTGAATCATTTCACTCTATTTCGTCGTCTATCTTGCCTTCCCTTTAAAAAAAATCCCCACCTGGCATGTCTCCCCAGGTAACCATAGCTGTCTGCAAGCCGAGTTTCACCTGGCCAGGAACATCGGCTTCTACATGGTCCAGATGTACATCCCCAGCGTGCTCATCGTCATGCTCTCCTGGATCTCCTTCTGGCTCAACGTCAACTCGGTGCCTGGTCGGGTCTCGCTGGGTCTGCTCACGGTGCTCACCATGACCACACAGAGCTCTAGTAAGTTGTGGGGGGTGGGGGGCACGGGGCTCAAGTAAGTCGGGGGGGGGGGGCACGGGGCTCAAGTAAGTCAGGGGGGGTCACAGAGCTCAAGTAAGTCGGGGTGGGGGGGGGGGGGCACGGGGCTCAAGTAAGTAGGGGGGGGGCACAGAGCTCAAGTAAGTCGGGGGGGGGGGGGGGGCACGGGGCTCAAGTAAGTCGGAGGAGGGGGCTCAAGTAAGTCGGAGCGGCGGGGGGCAGGGAGCTCAAGTAAGTAGGGGGGAGGGCGCTGAGCTAAAACAAAGTCAGGCGGCACGTAGCTCAAATTAGTCGGGGGGAGGGGCGTACCAAGCTCAAGTAAGTCGGGGGGGGGGGCGAGGGGGCGCTGAGCTAAAAAAATTCGGGGGGCACGGAGTTCAAGTCAACAGGCTGGGGGGGGGGGGTTGGGGCACGGATCACAAATAAGACGAGGGTGCACGGAGCTCAAGTAAATCAGACTTGGTGGGAACAAAGCTCAAGTAAGTCACACGGGGATGTGGGGGGGGGGGGGAGGGGACGGATTTCAAGTAACAAGGGGGCACGGAGCTTAAGTAAGTCTGGGGGCACGCCGCTGAAGTAACTCGAAGGGGCACGAAGTTCAAGTAGGTCAAGAAAAAAAATGCGCAAAAAAAAAATATGCGCAAACAGAAAAATGCAGACACATGAATATGCTCACACATAATAATGCGCAAAAGGAATTATTTTGTGCGAAATAGAGTTTTTATATTTACAAAACACTAATACCTATTATTTTTTCTACCAGACGTCAACGCAGCTTTACCGAAGGTCTCCTACACCAAGGCCATTGACGTCTGGATGTCCACCTGTCTCGTGTTCGTCTTCGCCGCCCTCCTCGAGTTCGCCGTCGTCAACGTCTTGAGCCGGAAAGACACAATTCTTGGGTTCTCTTTACGGGGACTATTCTCAATACCTAAAGACACAGAAGCAGAGGAGGGGGCTTTAACGGCGCCGGAGGTATGTCGTTAACTGTTTTTTTTAAATAAAAGAATAATACAAAAGCCTAGTTAGTGGTACTTAAAAGTACCGTCAGTAGATACAGGGTTAATTATCTACCGTCTCAAGTTTTAGCATGCCTTTATTTACGCCTAATTTACTGACAGCTAGTAAAGAGCATTAGGGGAATGAGGTGCGTATTTGGTATGTAGCTATGGGTTAAAATGTACTAATTTTTAACGGTTGTGAAAGGGTTAACTTAAACGCTGTTCAGCTAGTATTTTTAAAGACCGATATGGGCATTTTGTCGCCAACTTATTTTTTTTTTAAATTCATTAATTTTTTATTTTTTATTTTTTTATTTTTTTTTTTTTACAAACCGTTGTAAAGGCGCTCTCTTTTCCACAGCTGCTATAAACACAATTATTGTCAGCAAACTTCTCTTTAAAATATGTAAATATTTAGCACTGGCATATATGGACTTATAAGGGCCCCAAATGGGAAATAGCTTTCGTCCTTTCCAAATCTAAGTCCGGGCCACATATTGAAAATAGTTTACCGCCTAATCAAATTCAATAAATGCCATATCGGTGTGGCCTGTTTATTCCTGGAAGCAATCCACCATCATATCGTTACCGTATATTTAACAACGTTACTAGCCTCACGATTTCCTAAACACGGTTAAACCGCCGTAACCAATAGAGGTTAGTGTAACATGTGTAAACAAAAATATCAAAGTCTAACCCTTCCCCCCCCCACCCCCTCCCCGCTCCCCCACAAAGAAAAAGCTGGTCTTATATCAAACGTACGTGGTTTACCTGTAGCGCGCCAGGCAAAGCAAAAAGTTGCGATAATGTGATTAGTTTTGACGCAATCCTGTCGGCTGCTAGCATCTCCCAGCGGGGAAACCCACAAATGAAGAAAGACAACTCCCAATAACTTGTCTACATTGTGAAGCTGAGTGTAAAAACAGCCGAAATGTTTTTATTATTTCTATTTTTGTATATTGTGCCTCAACCATAAAACAAATTAGCGATGTTTATAAAAAAAAAAAAAACATTCTTGTTCTCTTTTTTTTTTAAACCAGGCGTCGCCTACTTTGGATAACTTCAAGAAAGATACTTCAGGTAAAAAATTGTTTGCCAAGCGAGGCATTGTGTATGCGGAGTATGTCGACGTCATCGCCCGCTTCCTGTTTCCGGTATGTTTTTCCGTGTTCATCATGAGCTACTGGCTACATTACGTCAACGCCGATTGACATGATACAACGATTTATCCTTTCCTGGCAGTCTCTTCCACAAGCTGGTTCATCATCTCGATACTAAGTTTCACTCATTTTCTAAGCGGAAATCAAATTCTATCAGAATATAGGCCCTATGTGAATGTATGCGGAAATAATATTCTGTTAGCATATAGGCCCTATGTGAATGTATGCGGAAATAATATTATGTCAGTATGTAGGCCCTATGTGAATCTATGCGGAAATCAAATTCTGTCAGTATATAGGTCATATGTGAATATATGCGGAAATCAAATTATGTCAGCATATAGGCCCTATGTGAATGTATGCGGAAATCAAATTATGTTAGAATATAGGCACTATGTGAATGTATGCGGAAATTAAATGATGTCAACATATACGTAAATCTATATGGAAATCAAACTGTGTCAACGGATAGGCCCTATATGTGAATCTTTGAGGAAATCTATTTGTTTCAACATAACTATGAGAATCTAAGTTATTTTTACAACTAAGATTGTTGAGTTCTCATGGATTAGTGTACATTATCCAATGATATTTTATCATAGGAGAACTAAATGTAAAAAAAAACATTCTTGCTTAGTTATTTAATTAATATTTCAGGAATCTGGAAAGCATTAATTAAGAACACCCCTCATAGTGGTTCAAATCTTTGTTCAGTATTTCCATAAAGATCTTCTTTATGTGTTCATGTTCATGCAATGACAGTTCGTACTATGGAAGTCAAGATGCGACAATTAATTCAAATGGATAAACATACCTTTTAAGCATCATTCATGGATTTAACTTTCATTAATATTTTAAAATCTGTACATTGTTTTTATTAAATTAGCAAATGCACGTTTTTTATATCATTATTAACAGCAATGTTTTGTATGTTTGAAAACTATGTTTTAAGGAAATGAATGTGACTAGCCCATCGCTAGTATGTATTGAATATACACCACTTTTGACATGTGGATATATGATTATGCTATAACGTATAACTGTTATTCAAATCATGCTTCAGGAGGGACTTGTAAATTATGATCTTGACATTCAAACTTTAGATACTAACTCCATACAACCAGTTTCTTTCAAGCATCAAGGGGGAGGGGGGGGGGGGAGGTCGTTGCTGTTCTCACTGGAACACTCCCATCACCACCACCCCCTCCTTTACCTGACGAAATAGAAAAAAATGTACGTAGGATATACTTCAACCAGAATCGCCCAACCCCTAAAATTTCAACTGCCCCCCCCCCCTCCCCCGGGGAAAAATATCTGGAAGAAATACTGCATTCAACCATTATCTAAATTCGAACCCATTTGAAAAATAACATACAAGCTAACCCCCTACTCCCCCCCCCCCAACAAGATCTAGACTAGCCCCCAACCCTTAGAAATGTAAGCTAAACAATTCACAAATGATCAGAGAAATCTAGGCATTAACCCTTTAGACCCGACGATGTAGACATTACATACCTTGGCCCACGATCTAGATATTCAACCACCAAAAACCTATCTCGCCCCCACGTTCTCTACAGCCTTATGACATTAAATACCCTGGAGGAACAATACATAATTCACTAGGCATCGAGCTTTAAAGTTTCTTTCAGTCATACCCCCTCCCCTCCCTCGCAAGTAATAGAATGTATATGTCTTCCCCCCCCCCCCCCCCCCATCCCGGGGAAAAAAAAGAAAAAAAAAGAAACACTGAAAGAAATACAACAGCCACTGTTCGTCCATCGAGGAATTTTAGTCCGCCCCCCTCCTCCGAAAATGTTTAAGTGCACCTCACCCCCCCCCCCCCACACACACACACCTTAAAAACAAACTAGTCATTACGAACAATAACCTTAAGACCGATGTGTGGGCTTATAAAAATTATATTTTTTTCTTTTCCTGTATGAAACAGGATTTCAAGATTACGATGGTCAGTGTTTCTTCCAGACTTTTTTCTCCGGGGGGGGGGGGGCACTTGAAATTTTCGGGGCGGCGGACACTGTTAAATGTATATATTTTCTATATAAATTCCATTCCGTTCGGGGGGCGGTAAACTTTTTCGGGGGCTCCACCCCCCCCCCCCCACCCACCCCCACCGAAGAGATGCCTGGAAGAAACTCTGACGATGGTATACCTATTCTACCACCTTAGACATTAGGCTGTTGAGTGATTTATTGTAATATGTATCCGTTGATCTCACATAAAATTCAAATCTCGTCTACAACGAGAACAGCATTCAAAAGACATACGTTTTTAACACTATTCAAGCTGTGTGTACAGTTTTAGTTTCGTATTTAATTGTTTAACAGTAGCAGCTCTCCCCACCCATTTTTCATTGCCCACTTTTTCAACAACAAAAAAAAATTGGAATTTTTTTTTTTTTTTTATTTATTTTTTTTTTTTACAGTTTTTATGTGTAAATAAGATAAGCTGCTAATTTTAATCTAGTTTAGCGGAAGTTATCAAGAACGCGCGAGGTAGTCAGGGCCGACTTGATACTCAAGGGAAAACACCTGAGGTTTACTCAACACGTAGCGCCCTCTTTCTAGGCGCCGGAAGTCGGTGGTAATCGTAACTTAAACTGATAAGGATAGTGAGAGAGTCTAGAATAGTTTGGGGGAATCTGATAGGAAGGTTATAAATAGAACAGTTTGTTTACATTTTCTTTAGGGGTCGTACACGACGCTGTCATGCCCATAGGAGGAGTTTCTCTCAATGAGGGGAATTATGTACATAGTTTTTTCCAGGCATCTCTTGGGAGGGGGGGGGCAGAGCCTCCCCCGAAGAAAGTCTACCGCCCCCCCCCCCCCCGAACGAGATGGATTTTATATAGTAAACATACACTTTTACTAGTGTCCACCCCCCTTCCCCCCCCCCCCGAAAAATGTTGACCGCCCCCCTCCCCCCCCCCCCCCCGGAAATTTCAAAAGCCCCCCCCCCCCCCCCCGGAGAAAAAAGTCTGGAAGAAACACTGCCCGGAGATTAACTAGATTGTCAGTATAACCCAGTATTGTTTATGATATTTCTGCCCTTTAGTTAAGTCTTAAATTGTTAATCATCACAGCTTATTATGTCTTCCAGGATTGAGTGACCTACTCTATAGAAAAAAAAAATCAAGCGAAGCCCATTAATTTACAGTTGTTTGAATAATTTTCATATGGGACGCAACTGAAATTTAAATGGAATTGAACGTGTAATTTACATAACCAGTTTAAAAAAAATCAATTAAATTAAATGATTCTGACAATGGCTGTTTTAAATGTTTAGTTCATCAGGGCTGCCCCAAGCATAGAAAATAGTTTAATTAGTATTCCCGTTTTAAATGCAGAAGTGAAAATTAATACAAGGGACATAATTTATAGTGAAATCACAAACGTTCACAAAATAAAACAACTAATTCAATCCCATACCATAATGCAAATTTATAATTGTTTTCTAATTATTTAAATAAAACATTTACATTGCATTTGAAATTATGACATTTTCTATGCTTTTTTGTATGAAAAATAAACCACTGCTGTAATTATGTATCAGAAGACGTTAGTTTTATGTTATAATTAAATTATACATATTAGACCACTTGATAAATAGGTGGTAATGAAAATAACAATCGTCTTTGTGTAAACGGAAAACTTATTTGAACTATTTATTTTAGACCTGTGAGAAAATATAATTTTAAATATATATTAATAATTGCCGACATTAAGGCTCATGTCAGTACGGTCTCAACATATTGGCTGATGGGCCCTCGACAAAAGGATGAATTCATAATGGTCCCATCAAAACTGTTTCACACTCTTGACAATAATTCCTGCGGAAATTAGGCTCCAGACAAAAGGGCCTTAGACAATATGGTTCCCGACAAATTGGCTACGGAAATTGTGTCGTGTTTGTGAGGGTTTATTGAAACAGCATATAGCGTAATCAAATGAGGAGAGGGGGGGGGTGGAGGAGATAAATTGAATAGTTACATAAAGTAACATTGTAATAGGGCTTGTGTAAAAAATGTTATATTTTTGTGTTACATAACTTGATCCCTATAATAATGTTTAAGGCATGTATCAATAAATATGATACATATCATATGTAAGTTGTCCAACCGTGCAGTGCCCCACCCCACAAACACTATCCTTTAGGAAGGTTTTATTATGTTGATCTGTGCCCCACCCCACAAACACTATCCTTTAGGGAGGTTTTATTATGTTGATCTGTGCCCCACCCCACAAACACTATCCTTTAGGGAGGTTTTATTATGTTGATCTGTGCCCCACCCCACAAACACTATCCCTTAGGATGGTTTTATTATGTTGATCTGTGCCCCACCCCACAAACAGTATCCTTTTGTTATGTTGATTGTAATGTATCAAGTGGATGTGTTAATTGTGTTTTGTTACACAATGATACAAAAAAAATGCTCATAAATCTCTTTGCTCATGAAATCTAAGGAAAAAAAAATCATTTCTCACTTTATCAAGCCTTTCCCCATTACATTCATCACAATGACATTTCTCAATGTATGATTAATGCAGCCATTTCTCATGTTATGTCTAATGAGCCATTTCCCATTATTTGATTAATGCTGCCAATATTCAATGAATTCATCCATGCGTCATAGAATTTTCAACATGATAATTTGTGATCAAATCAAGTTTGTGTATGAGAATGCTAATTTTGAACATTGTGTATTTGGAATAAGAAATGTATTACAGTATTTACAGTCAATGGAATCAACCCCACACTTTTAGAGATAGTAATACCTTTTGGGTGTTGCGGAACATAGTATTTCTAAAGTAGAAAACATACCCTTTCATAGTTGGCATATGACGTAAAGTTTATCTGAAGTTTTTTTTTTTTTTTTACCTTTATGAAGGATGTGGTCAGCATTGTATCATCCTTTCCCATTTGTACAAAAAACACATGGAGAAGATGAAGTAGAGTTCATCTGTTTCGATAATCTTGGTATACATGGGGATAGTGTGGTCAGTACTATGCTTTGTTAACGAGAGTCAGTTACCCATCAGAACTGGGTGCACTCAGGGACGGATTCAAGCCCGGGATCTGAACCCGAGACTTTCAGGTTACAGGTGTAAGCTCTACCAACCAACCGCACTGTCCTATGGTCAGCATTATGCCTTTTGTTTTAGCTAGTTAGATCACAGCTGAGAAGTCCTACAGATCCTGAGATTCGAACTCAGGACTTACATGTTGGTAATTATATGCTCTACCACTTGATCACACCATATAACAAATTATATACAACAAATTATTACAACACCAGAGTAAAACTGGTGGTCCATTCGAGTTGACAGTCAAAATGGCTAATAAAGCAGTTACCTGTGGTTTTTGTTTTTATTTGACGAGTCCAAGAGTCAGCATTTATGGGTACCTGGCTTAAATATGGAACTCTACATCATCAGATCTCAAATAAGATTTTATACTAAAACCCCTGTCTCTATATTAGAGACTTGAGTTAGCAAATAAAAGGTCATTAGAATGAAGCTTCTAAGTTATCATTAGAAATATAAATTTACAAGTTTTGAGGGTATCTGCATAATCTCCCTTTGTTTCTATTGAACACTGGCCTGTTCCAATTAAATGGAGCTTATGCATAAGGTAATTAATTAAAAAGTGCTAGGATTTAATGTGAAGATTTACCATAGATAAAACTACTAAGCTAATGCCATGCATTTCAATACCACCATCTTTATATTTCACATATTGGTTAAGGAAATGAATGTATCAATGTAAACTATAGTCACCAAAGTAGAGAACTACATTTAATAAGTGCTATATTTAGGATTTTGTTTTAAAGATTTACTATAGATAAAAATACATTGCTGATGTCATGCATTTAAATATCAACACCTTTATATTGCTCATGTTATATATGCTGTTATAAATGTGTAGAAAGTGAGATCAATAAAGATTGAAAAAAAGAGTTATCTTTCCAAATTATTTATTTAAGAAATTAACACATTGAAAAATATTTCAAGTAAATATCACATATGTTATACAATGACAAAGTCATATGTATGTGTCCAAAAATTAAATAAATACACCTGCACAAAGCTGCTAATAGTTTTTACACGTTATCATTTTTAAAAAAAAACACTGCTAGAACATCACCATAATTCCGCCAAACTTACAAGTATTTCATTTTGTGTGTAAAGAGTGGTTGTCGATTTCTTTTCAAAATTAAACTTGCGCTATCATTTTACATTATAAACATACTAGAAATGCTGGTTCTTATAAAACAAAAAAAAAAGCAGAGTTAAAACATTCAACATACATCTTTAGCATATAAAAAGCACTGAATTAAAAAATTAATTTAATTATACCATACATCGCTATTGCACAACTTCCTTGGATTCATGTTCATCTCTTTCTTCTTTCTGTTCTGAACCCTCCTCTTCCTTTGTATCTTTCTTATCCTCCGATTGCGCCTCAAATTCAGATGGGCCGACGTCTACAATCGTCTCCTTGTCATCAACTAGGATAATGTCCTCGGGGTTGGGGGGTTTAGGTAAGAACTCCTCATCTGGGCAAACCGTTTGAAAAATTTTCTTGGCCTGTGAGAAAAAAGTTATTATTATTTAATAATTATTAATTATTTAATATTCTTATTAATTTGTAATGATAAAGGTTTTAGAGTGTGGATGAAATTCACGAAAAGAGATGTTTTCTTAATTTAATTTTAAACTGTAATTTCAACAAGAAAAAAATAGCCAACTATGAAAATAAATAAAATATTTCATAATAGAAATTGCAACAAAATTTGTATTTTCAATATTGTAAAGAATTTTTTAAAAAAGACATGGTGGGATAGTTAAACGCCAATTTAAAATTAAACTTCACTAGTTTCATAAACTTTAATAACGTGTATGGCCATTAAAATCGGAATGGGAGCTTGCTATATTCTCACTGTATTTAACTCACCTCCAGAACACAATACTCTAGGTCTACACCAGGTCCACCCCCACCAGATGTCACTAAGATATTCTTTGGAGATGAACCTGTCAGTTCAACTTCACTGTAGTCTTTCTGAGCAAAATGCATGGACCATAATATCTTGGGCTTTTCATCTACTGTGTCTAAAATAAATAGAATCAAACACAAAAAGAATAAAAAGGCACTCAAAATCCATTATCCAATGGTTGAGCACTCTATTACTATCCTAAAATTCCTGTAAAGACAGCTGCAGTAGATAAACTCTACTTCAACTGCCTTATGGATCATCTGCTCTGAGACTCATCACTGAGAGATAAATTTACTTGTTTGTGAGGCATATTGTCCATGTTTAGTATTCTTTCAACAGAATGCATATAATTTTTACATGTAAAAATGAATTAGTCTATGTAGCAATGTATTTCAACAGTCAAGAAACGAACCAAAATTCCATAAACTATAGGTTTATTGACCAAAACACACAAGATAAAATATAACAACAAAAAATGTAGCAAAAAAATTTTGACTCACTGTTATCAGTTGCAAACAGGTGTTCTGTGACTTCCATAAAGTCACTCTCTGAGTCAGCTTGGTCAGATATTCTGGTCAAGTGTACAACAACTAGAATATAGATATGATATTTGTTAAAATTATGTTTAATTCTCATCTGCATTTTTGCTACATAGTAAAAAAAACATGTAATATTAAATAAAACTTAACAATTGAGTCTAACTTATCCAACATACATTTATTTTAATCAAAAATGTAATAAATGAATGTAAATATGAGAACCTACACAAATCTCAGCTAAAAACTTAACAAATGGAAGTAAATATGAGAACCTACACAAATAGTTTTAAAACTTAACAAATGTATCTAAATATGAGAACCTACACAAATAGTTTAAAACTTAACAAATGGATGTAAATATGAGAACCTACACAAATAGTTTAAAACTTAACAAATGTATCTAAATATGAGAACCTACACAAATAGTTTAAAACTTAACAAATGGATGTAAATATGAGAACCTACACAAATAGTTTAAAACTTAACAAATGCATCTAAACATGAGAACCTACACAAATAGTTTAAAACTTAACAAATGGATGTAAATATGAGAACCTACACAAATAGTTTAAAACTTAACAAATGGATCTAAATATGAGAACCTACACAAATAGTTTAAAACTTAACAAATGGATCTAAATATGAGAACCTACACAAATAGTTTAAAACTTAACAAATGGATCTAAATATGAGAACCTACACAAATAGTTTAAAACTTAACAAATGTATCTAAACATGAGAACCTACACAAATAGTTTAAAACTTAACAAATGTATCTAAACATGAGAACCTACATAATTAGTTTAAAACTTAACAAACGTATCTAAATATGAGAACCTACACACATAGCTCAAAACTTAAACAAATGGATGTAAATGTGAGAACCTACACAAATCTCGGGGACAAACACAAGCTGAGGGTGGGAGCTCAACAACTGTCACAGGTCGTCTGGGGTCATCCTTGCTGACGTAGTGCAGAAGTGACAACTAGTTGGATTGTCAGAAAATTGCAAGGGATTACTACAAAGAATAAATTAAAAACTTGATTGATTAATATGACAGCTTGGTCAGAGAGTAGAATTAAAAATGAAAACACTATCCCTTTACACTCGTCCTTTACTACTTTGCTGTTTATTTATAGCAGCCTCAATAAATCACTGATTGTTCAAAAATATAAATGAAAATGTCAAAATTGGGGAAATATGGTGTGAAAGTTGCCTGCACGCTAGATAATAATAATATACATACACAGAAAATGCATGTGTGTTAAAAATGAGAGGGTAACACTACTTCACAGTTTCTCACTGATCGTGACCAGTACTGATCCCAATTAACAATGATAACTGAGGGATAACTGTATATGCTGAGATGACAGAAACAGGTCAACACTAGACCAGCAGGTCCAACAGGGTAAATCATCATTATAAATATTCCTAGATTTGACACAGCTTCAATGGGAAATTACCATTAATTCTAAATTTTAGCAAAGAGCTTGTCACATTATTGGAACAGCCACTTCTAGTGTTTAAAGACACTAATATTTAAACCATTCTAGCAAAGTGATGGGATGACATATTCCCAGGGTACAGAACCCAAGCAGATCAGGCCAATTAGCCAAGAACAACATAATTACCAATGTTAGTTTCCTTTTGGCAGCTTCTGCAACTGAAGTTGGTATAAATCATAATGCTTAGCATTCATTTAGACCAGGGGTCTCCAAACTATGGCCCGCGGGCCAGATGCGGCCCGCGAAGTCCTCTCATCTGGCCTGCGGCGATCTTTTTGTCCAACTAAAAATCTACTGTTGGTGATAGCTGAGGAACTTTGCCCATAAAAATCAAAGACATGTCTGGAAGAAACTGGCCCCCGAACTGAAATTTGATAGTTAATGTGGCCCTCGGACTGAAAAGTTTGGAGACCCCTGATTTAGACAATACCAGCTGAGGTCAAGACAGGGATCACAATGCATCGGCAACCCATGACCCCCTTCTAATTCTCTGGTATACGCCCTAAGTATTAAATATCCATTGTCTCCCAGCTAACAAAATGATAAAACCCATTTCTGTTTACCTCAGGCTCCGGAGAGGGCAGGATGGAACTGTCTGTTACAAAAATAGCTCTTGATATTTGCCTGAGAAATTGTCAAGAATAAACTTAAGTAGAAAAACAAGTGAATCTGAGAAATTCTAAGTGGAAATCTTAGTTTTAACATCAATCATAGATGCCATGAAGAAATAAAGAAATGTGTTGACATGGTAGAGAAGGTAATCTACTGATCTGTATGACAGAGCTTATAGGTACAAGCTATAGACTATAAACAATATATGAAAAAGTTTAATGCAATAGGAAATAACATACTAATTGTTATTTAATGGTTCTACAAAAGATAGAATAGTTAAAGGCAATAGGAAATAGGAAATAACATAATAATTGTTATTTAAGAGTTTTACAAAAAATGGAATAGATTAAGGCAATAGAATACAACATACCTGTTATTTAAGGGTTTTACAAAAAATGGAATAGATTAAGGCAATAGAATACAACATACCTGTTATTTAAGGGTTTTACAAAAAATGGAATAGATTAAGGCAATAGAATACAGCATACCTGTTATTTAAGGGTTTTACAAAAAATGGAATAGATTAAGGCAATAGAATACAACATACCTGTTATTTAAGGGTTTTACAAAAAATGGAATAGATTAAGGCAATAGAATACAACATACCTGTTATTTAAGGGTTTTACAAAAAATGGAATAGATTAAGGCAATAGAATACAACATACCTGTTATTTAAGGGTTTTACATAAGATGTTGGAAGGTAAGATGTTTCAGCTATCAAGTACCTTATGAGAAAAAAAAATGCAATGTTTTAATTAAGAACAACAATGTCATGCAGCAAATGAAAATAACAAATGCTTACTATATGAAATGATAATTCATAAACAATTATTTAGAAATTATATTTTTTTAAAAATTTAAATAAAATTCTTTTTTCACATCTTATGTAATTGGATATCTTTAACTATAATCTTGCATCACATGTTTTGCCATTAAAATAACACAAACAAGTTACACAAAATAAAAGTAGACTGACTTGCAAGCTATCCTCTGTCCAGCTGTTGTTATGATGCCACTGCACCTGTAAGATTAAAAAAAAACTGGGAATTGACCACATGTTACAGTACAGGCAAGTCTAAGTAACTAGCACAGCCATTAAACTGCTTTTGACACTAGGAACTGACCACATCTTACAGTACAGTTAAGTGTAAGTAACCTAGCCATTAAACTGCTTTTGACACTGGGAACTAACCACATGTTACAGTACAGTTGTGTAAGTAACTAGCATAGCCATTAAACTGATTTGGACATTGGGAACTAACCACATGTTACAGTACATGTAAGTAACTAGCACAGCCATTGAGCTGTTATTGAAACTGGGAACTGTTATCATTGAGCGAGATTGGCATGGTGATACTGTTACTAACCAATAATGTAAATACTTATTACAGGACAACACAAAAACTGACCACTAATGTCAGGCTATAAAAGAGCATGACAGCAGCTTACTCTTTTATATGCCTACACATTATCGAATGGTGAGCCAACAATTGCTAATCAACTGGTTTTGTGCATGTTGGAATTTAATGAATCCACACAGCTCTGAATACATTACATGATTGTAATCATATAAAGTAAAATTGCATGGTGTGGACCACACAATCTCCTTAATGCTTTTATGTTATAAGTACTGATGCACTCTACTTTATTTAGGTCTGAATGGATACTTTTTTCACCTGACTTAAAAATAAAAAATAAAAGTCTTGTTGTAATATCATCATCAGTAATCATAAGTAACAGAATACTGCATTCTAGGCCTGACATAGGTCCATCTCATCTACAGCCAGTCTGTTCAGCATCCAAAACCCTCAACACACACAACCCCCCACTTAGATTTATAACGAATGTTAAAACTTCTGTAATCTCCTGTTAGTATTAGCAGCTGAGAGTTGATCTAAGTGGTAAAACTCACTTATTTTCAGAGTCCAGAATAAGATGTGATGCTGATGTTGTCAAACAGTAGACCCCTCCAAAGACTGCAGACAACCTTACATAATCAGGTAGATAGATTTATGTTAATCAGATAATACTTTTTAATTATTTATGTTAATCAAAAAATACTTTTTAATAATAGGCCTATATGTTAATTTAAAAAATATGTTTTAATAATCCGTGTTAATAAGATAATACTTTTTAATAATCTATGTTAATCAGAAAATAATTTTTTATAATGTATTTTAATCAGTTAATACTTTTTAATAATTTGTGTAAACTAATTAATAATTTTTAATGATCTATGTTAATCAGCTAATACTCAGCAAGTTTAAATGAAAATGAGGCTGATTTCTTAGTCATACTCAAGTTATTTTTGTGTACGTCAATATGTTGTTATTTTTTCCAAAACAATTTGAAATGCTAATTTGGGTTACTGAAGAAGGCATATTTGGACTTTAGTATGGTATCATGAATACAAATTATCAATCAAAACATTTTTCCATTACCTTAAATACACTGATTATGAGTTGAACAATGTCCAAAACATTCTGTGATTAACAATAGCTAAGAAACTGACATACAGTGTGTCTATGGTTTGTTACCCTTAAGAATTTTAAGCTTAATACACAAAGTCTAAATCAACTTTCTAAATGAAACTAAGTGCAAACCTTGAGAAGGCTTGTGGTAGCTCTCCAGTGCCATACAGAGGAAACAAAAAAGCTGTGTTGCCATAGCGACCAAGGGAATGTAAAAACTTGTGAGCCTTTTTTAAACCCTGAAATATTATCAAAATAAGATAGAAATTCAGTTTTTAACTCTTTGCACACACAAAATGAGAGTTGTAAGACAGTTTTAAAATTTTCTAACCTGTTCTGTTGAAGCTTCATCAGTAACCATTGCGATGGAATGCTGAATAAATTTTTGAATGTTCTCTGTCAACTTCTTAGATTTCATGAATTGAACAAAAGGTTTCCCCACAAAGTCTGAATAAAATGTAGAAACAAAAGTCAAATATTGACCATCGCATCCTACACCACAGTCAGCTATTGCCCATACCACACACCAGTCAAATATTGAGCATTCCATCCCACATCACAGTATAATATAGACCATCCAACACACCAGTCAATCATTGACCATTCCATCTCACACCAAAGTCAAATATTTACCATCCCATCCCACAACCCTGCTTAAATAGTGACCATCTCATCACTAATCCCATCCCACATGTACTAATTAGCAGTAATCCTCAGTGTAAAATCATCATGCAGTAAATCTTTTATTTTAAATTTAAAAGCCACACCAAGAATCAAATTTAGTGACTGTGGTAATAATGTGACAATTAAAAAAAATAACCACCATGAAACATTTCTTGTTTTAGTTCCGTGACTAATCCTCTAATGCCAAAACTAACCACAAAATTAATAAAACCACGCAAATTGTAAAACAGCTGCTTCAGGAAAGGAAATACACGTGTATTTAAACTATAACATATAAATCACTGCATGTTATAATTTTTCCAGTTGACACTTTATAAACTGCTGCGATAAAAAAAATCACCATGGGTTTGTTTATACTAAACAGATCAAACTTACCTTGATACTCCTGGGGTGATTTTTCATACTCAGCCACAAACTGAAGAAACTTCATCATAAGTCTTTTTTCAATAAGGGACACAACTTTACTGCTGAACACATCTGCCCTTGAACAAGGAACCTGGTGGTATATTAAACAATGATTAAAATTTCATACTGTCAGTTTCAGATGTTCACCAAAGCAAGCTCTCATAAAATACAATTCCTTTAAGTGGTGAATTGAGAGATTTATTTTACTAAATTAAGAAAAAATTTGCTAATTTAAGAAAATAGAAACATAATATATATATATATTAACTATAATATTTAATTTATAAAATCCTAGACAGAATACAAACATCATTAGGATATAAATTTCTTTTATATTTCCTAAATGGTCAAGCCCTCAACTACATAAAGGGGCCACAGAATATGAGCAGAGAACTCACAGGTTTGAATAGATCAGACATTCAGTATACAATACCAGGCAGTTTGTCCAAGGGAAGTTTAGCACCCAACAGACCATTCTAAATTTTAAGAACCTCACATGTTTACCTGCTGCTGCTCATCATGAAGAAGTTCGGTACCAGACTGACCATGCCAAATTGATAATACCATACTCAAGTTTACCTGCTGAAGTTGATCTTGGAAGAAGTTGAGCACCCGACTGACCGTCCTAAAAACACATTACCGTAACTCAAGTTTACCTGCTGAAGTTTATCCTGAAGGAAATTCAGCACCCGACTGACTGTCCTAAATTCACAATACCTAGCCACGTCAGACTGAATCAACAATTCTACAAGTTCCCCACTGCAATAAAGTAGCTAAAAAAAAATGGAAAATATAAAATACTTAACCATAAAATGAAAGATAAACACCAAATTTTTTTGCATATGAGAGTTTAAAGCATCAAGATGTCATTCATTATTTAAATTGCTTTATCAGAAAACTCAATGATGCATGTAAATTAAAATACCTTAGGCGATAAATCAAAGCAAAACTTGCGTCCATTGTCTTTCAATTCCCCCACAGTCCATTCTTTAGGTGCTGATGGAGTTGTCTGCTCTTCTATTTTTTGCCCAGCTTCAGTTGTCTGCCCCACTCTGTCACCCTCACATCCTTCCTCAGTTGTCAGACTTTTACTAATGTTCTCTCCCTTGTCATTGCCTTCTCCTTTACTCTCATCTTTTTCCTTTTCCTCGCTTGCCTGTGTTCCCTTGTTATTCTCATCTCTCCCCACAGTTAAGCTCCCCTCCTTATCTTCCAACACATCTTTGGAGATTTCCCCTGACTCCTTTCCACCAATGTGTAGTTGTGACAAGTCTTCAGTTACTTGTTCACATGTTGCTGTGCTCTCAAGCTTAGGATCTGGTTCAGTAGAGCTGTTGGCACTCAAATCTGGAGTTAATAAAATAAAATAATTTAAGAAAATAACATCCTGATAAAGTTGATGTAGTTTTTAAATTTAACACATAGTTGACGTGAGCTTTAGATGTCAACATTCATCAAACTAAATAAAGTGGACATGGAATTTAAAATTCAACATTCATCAACCTAAATAAAGTGGACATGGAATTTAAAATTCAACATTCATCAAGCCAAATAAAGTTGACATGGAATTTAACATTCAACATTCATCGAGCCAAATAAAGTTGACATGGAATTTAACATTCAACATTCATCAAGCCAAATAAAGTTGACATGGAATTTAAAATTCAACATTCATAAAAGCCAAATAAAGTTGACATGGAATTTAAAATTCAACATTCTTCAAGCCAAATAAACAAAGCTTACATAAAAAGTCAACATTCATAAAGCCAATTAAACAAAGTTGACAATTAACAAGTGTATTAAAGAAAATTTTCATTGTAACCATTTCTCATCAACCACTAGGTGGATTACAAATATCAAGCTACATTTTTTTCTGTCTCGTCATCTTATGTATTTAATGACAAAGATGTTACAGTCAAGACATGCTGCTATTTGGTAAAATTGATAAAGTAAGATCGAAACACTTATTCAATGTTTCTTTAAAAATATTTCATATTTTTATAAGAGGTGTGTTAAAAACTAAAATGAAAAAAAATGAAGGAAAAATATATACCATTGTCACCAGCCCCAAGAACTGGAACCATGGAATAGGGCAAGTAAACTTTTTTACTCTGTGCTTCTTTCTCTTCTTCTTCTGTCCTTTCTCTGTTATATAACATTAAGACTAGTTAGCTGATAGTTGCTTCTTTAAGGTAAGCCACTAAAAATCATTCAAAATATCTCTTGAAAAAAAATCAAAAATATTTTTTTATAAAACATACATGATGAAAATGTAAATTATAAACTTAATAAAAACTATGTAACAAACATTTTTTAAAAATTAAAAAAAAACTTCATCACAATCAGTCAAGAAATAAACTATGACAATTAGAAAGGACTTTCTAAAATGTGCTTTAATTACTTCTTTAATTTCTACTGTGATAAAAACCCAAAATTAAAACCTTTTTTGTTTTTGGTTTCTTTAAGCTTTTAGAGTACTTCTTTGTTGTTTTTTTTTAATGTATTTTGTGTTTTGTTTCATAAATTTTTAAAGAAATTTTTATTTTTCATGTATTTTTTGTTTTGTTTCTAAACTTTTTTGTTTTTAATGTATTTTGAAAAACAAAGAAGCGAGATAGCACTTTTGATGTTAACTAATGCCAGCTTACAGGTCTACTTCTTACCTGATGTAATACTGGGATTTAATGTTAAAGGCACTGGCAGTTTCCTGTGGTAAAGTCAATAAACTTTCCTCATCTCTCAGAAGGCTCTGTATGTTGTCAGCAGTCACAGAAGTACTCGCATCTTCTAATGGGAGATTCTGTATGAGTAGTTTAAAAACTTAATATTAATTTTTTTTTATTTAACAACCAACAGTTTTGAAATACATTAACTCTCAAAGACCATAACAGCACTCCCAGTGGGCAGTCCACAAGCCTACATACCCTAACGATGCTCCCACCGTTCGATTATATTTTCTCTATTTAATCTGTTGTTTTTAATTATTAATCTAGGTCATGACATCAGAGAGGTCATTTTCTGTCTTGTTTACTTCTTGTACTTTTACGTTAGTTTAGTTTAACACTATGGAATGCCATTCAGTAGCTGCATCTAACCATTAATGTTGTTGTGCTATAAAATAAACGGAAATTAATGTATTTATTCTAATTCTATTCTCCTCCATGAAGTTTGTGGAAAAAATCGAGTGAAACAAAAAAATTCAGGTGAAACATGAAAATGATTACAGGCTTAAAGAGATAATCTGCTAGACAAGTTACCTTAGACATTTTGTTTCATTTTTAAAAATTCTTACTTGATTCTTTTTTTGCCATGCTTCAAGCCCCTGAAGACTAAAGTTTCCAAAGGTGTTGCCATAAAAATCATTGCTGGAAAATACAATCAGTCTCAATTACCTCATTTATCTGGCAAAAATATTTTACAAATTATACTGACAAAATATGAATCTAATTATTATAATACAATTATTTAATTTAAAAAGAGCCAAATAGATTAAAATACAAAAACATTATTAGCTCCAGAATATATAGAGCAAAAATGGCTGGATAATTTTTGCTTGAGGATTTTAAAATACATCCAGCCTGCTTTGGTTATGAAATGAAAGAGCAGGAATTACAAAGAAAACTAAGATGGATCAACAACACAGAGGAAACCATTTTAAGAACAGAAATCTAGCAAATAGAAAATATGAAACTTTAAGGTCTGCTAGAAAATAAGGAGAAAGTAGGCAAACTTCATTGAAAATAAAAATGTGTTGAAAATAAATTGTGCTTAATAAAAAGATTCATAATTTACAAGCATTAAAATGAGATTGCAAAGATCTACTAAATAATCATAAATCTAACAAAAATGAGCATGTTCTTTGTTGTGTTATTCAAAATTAATTACTACATTAACTCTCTTACCACCACCACCCCCCTGCTCTCATTACAACAACAGTCTAATATGATAAGATAGCACACAGTTAGCTAGTTCTTGTGTAAAGTGTTTTAGCATATTTATTTGAATAGTCCAGACACTTACCGATCAAGGTGCAGAATTTTCAAGCCTAATCTTGAACATGCTGCTGCTACAATTGTTTCAGTGAGACCTGATGGATACAAAATAAATATGTGAATTAAAATATTTTTTTTTTAATCTTAAAATTCTACTTTTTTAAAAATTCAAATGTTAAGCTCTTTCCATGAAATAAACAAGTGTAAAAACTTTTATAATAACAAGCATTTAAATGTACTAAATCTTAGAAAATTGAAAAACTTTCTTTCTATAGAAAAAGTGTTGACAAAAAAATTAATGCTTTAACTATCATATTTAAAGAATGGAAGTTTTAAGTACATTTAAAAGCTTGTAATCATACTAGTTCGAATATATAAATGGATCAACACTTATGTTTTTCATAAGCTTTTATTTAGTTTACAATGTCTATTTGTTTGTGGGTTATGGCAAATTTTGTAATTCATTTTGACCCACTTCTAGACAACTTTTTAGACATGTTCACCTTTTACATCAATGCAAGAAAAGCTATTTTTAAAATTTAATTAGATGCTTAATTAGTAAGTAAAAATCAACATAAAGATAACTATATTCAATAATGGGACGGTATGGTCGAATACTAGAGCATTTGGCTCCTAACAAAAAGGGGTTGTGATCTCAGTTTAGACTTGTCAAATGTATAGAAATAAGCATACACTTCAACTTTTAATGGCATAATTAACGTTTTAAGACAAATACTTTTTTATTCATACAATGAATTACTAAAAAAATAAAAAATAAAAAATATATATATAAAAAAACTTGATAATGTTAAGCTTTCAAATGCACTGAAAATAAGAAAATAGGCTTGCTTTCTTCTTTCTTTAATAAAAGATTTGGTCACTACAATATGTAAGAGATCTCATGAGCCACAAAGAAATTTTAGTGACAAAAATTATCCTCAAGCCCAACCACACATATCTGAATATTTTAAGTTAAAAATAAGCATGCAACACAGCTAATTTTTAGTATTTGATTACATAAATAGGTGTCAGTTAATGTGAGAAATAAAAATACCTGTTCCTAAGACCACAACATCAAACTCATCTGGAAGATCTGCTATGGCAGCCATAGGAAAAAAACTGCTGAACTTCTTATTTCAATTATCAAAACTACATTCACTGAAAGTAAAAAATCTGTTGAAAATTAAAATGTGTTTGATAACAAGATACATAATATACATGTGTTAAAATGATATAGCAAAGATCTCCTACACCTTCTACAAAATAATTGTGTCTCTTAACAAAAATGAGCATATCCTTCATTATGTGTTCTATGAAATTATTTACTACCTTGATGCTCTAACACACATTATCTCAAAAGTCTACCCCCTCCCCCACACCTCCCTGTCTTTGAATGAGAAAACATGTATAACCTAATAATTTAATTACTGCAAAAAAGTGGGCTTATAAGTTGGACCTGTCAACTATTTTTAGGTGTGAGAATTAGATGTAGGCCTACAAATTTACCTAAAATTTGTTTCAAAGAATAATTTTTGAAACTAGGAAAGACACCAGGAGCAGCACAATCAAAACAACCCTAGCAAAATAGTCCAAGACAAAATAACACAGTCAAAGTGGCCCCAACAAAAGTATCTGTGACAAATAGAACCACTGACATTGGAGCCAGACATAATCATAATGGCTGAGTGGCTCCAGACAAATGGTTCCCAAAATAGTGGTGCGTGACAAATGGTTTCTTTAAATATTGGCGTCTAACAAGCTGCCACAGATATACTGGCTCCAGACATTTTACAAGTATTCTTGAACTGATGATATTTACTGTCAGTCAAAAACCATGATGTAAGTAAGGGAGATAATGCAAGAATCGAAGCCTTATGTTAAAATGTTCGAAGTGACTACTCAGAAAAAGATTATTCTCCCCAACATCTCCACTTAGTCGGCAAAAGATAGTTCTGCGCATGCGCAGTGACCTGTGGCTAGGGTTAGGATTAGGGCTAGGGTTAGGGTTGGGGTTAGGGCTAGAGTTCTGTGGTTGTAAACACACGCATGTGCAGTACCATCGAAAACATCGCTGCGATGGCAAGTCGTAGTTTCTCTCCATTGCGCATCTTTTTCCGGCTAGCATTGGCCAAAATTGTTTAGTTTTGCATGTGTGAACAGAAGTTCTATAAATTACTAAAAATTAGGCCTCTTGTTTTTGGTAATCTATCGTTTTGGGTACGTAAAATCGCCTGCGGCTATTAATGTACGAAAACGTTACCTCATTGTCAAGGCTTTAATAGAAGTTTATTGTCATATGTTTGTGTCAAATATTATAGATAAATGAATAATAAACCTAAATCAATGGCTAAATATATCGATATAGGCCAGAAATTAACTTTAAACAGCAGTGTCTGAGAGTAAGATTTGCTATATAAACAGCAGCCATTTGTAAAATAGAGTGGCTTCCCCCTGAATCTCGCGCTATAAGCTTATAAAAATAAAACTTAAACAAGATGGCTGCTATAGTAAATGAGCATGGTTGCATCTGTTGGAAACATTGCTAGTCTTCATTTATTACGGAAAAGTTTTAATTCAATTGTTTAAAAACAGGTACATAAATGAAACAAGGAAACATTTTTGTATTTTTCAAAACATAAATCCTCCTCAAAATGGGAAATAATTATTAAAATTTCAAGGAGTCACCTGTTTTTCATATTACAAGTCGCAGGCGATTTTACGTACCTAAAACGATAGATTAGGCCTACCTTGTTTTTGAATTAAATATTCAGTGAACAGACTTAAAAAGTTGGCCGATGCTAGCCGGAATAAGATACGCATGCGCAATGGAGAGAAACTACGACTTGCCTTCGCGGCGATGTTTTCAATGGTACTGCGCATACGTGTGTTTACAACCGCAGAACCCTAACACCAACCTTAATCCTAACCCTATCCCTAATCCTATCCCTAACACTAATCCTATCCCCAACCCTAACCCTAGCCCTAATCCTAACCCTATCCCTAATCCTAACCCTCATTCTAGCCCTAACCCTAGCCATAGGTCACTGCGCATGCGCAGAGCTATCTTTTGCCGACTAAGTGGAGTTGTTGGGGAGAAAAATCTTCTTCCAAGTAGTCACTTCGTAAAAAGTTTTATAATGAATGCCCGACTTTCATAACTTCATAGAATAGCAAGCAGTACTTAGTACAGATACTCCTGTCTTACCCTGTTCTTCATACTTGGCATTTTTATCTAGGCTATAAAAATTATTAATTAATTATTATTAATTAATAATGATTATTATAATCTGGGGGTTGGGGGAGTGGGAGGGAGGGTGACTGTAAGATTACCGATTACGATTACCCCTCATTCACTGATTTCTCAGTCATGATTAGAATCTAGATCTAGATAATCTAGATCCAGATACTTACTATAAAAAGAGGTAGAGGTAAAATCACGATATAGCGTCGGTTATTATTCCGGAACTGTACAGCAGTAAAAAACAGTAAAACCATGGTGTAGTCTGTCGAGCCGTTCCGGAAACCATCGGAAATACTGTGAACCATCATTTATTTGCCGCCATATTATTTTTAATACATAATGTTGAAAAATGTGCAAGGATTGATTTTAGTTGCAATTTAAATACTGTTTTGCTAATTATTTTCTATTTCTAATTATTTTAAGTGTATGTGCTAATTATTGCTGTAACTAAACATTATTCTAGTTAATCGTCTTATTTACTAACAGAACTTAGGGCTGGTTGTCGCAAATCTTCTGCAGGTTTTTTTCTGTTTCTTAAAAAAAAACATTAATTACTACACTCGACTTTATTAATAATATTTAGATTTACTAATTGTTGCTAAATTTTTGTCAGTTAAACATTAAATTAAGTTAAAACATTAATAATTATAATTAATTTAATGCACTTTGACTGACTTGACTTTATTAATTGGCCGATTCTAGTCGGAATAAGATACGCATGCGATACGCATGCGCAATGGAGAGAAACTACGACTTAGCGGCGATGTTTTCGATGGTACTGCGCATGCGTGTGTTTACAACCGCAGAACCCTAATACCAACCAGAACCCTAATACCAACCCTAATCCTATCCTTAACCCTATCCCTAATCCTATCCCTAACCCTAACCCTAGCCCTAATCCTATCCCTAATCCTATCCCTAACCCTATCCCTAATCCTACCCCTAACCCTCATTCTAGCCCTAACCCTAGCCATAGGTCACTGCGCATGCGCAGAACTATCTTTTGCCGAAAAATCTTATTCCGAGTAGACACTTCGTTATTAATTTTAGGCCTAATATTTTTTTTTTTCTTTCAACGGTAAAATAAACTACTATGGTTTACAGTAATGAATGTTACCGAAACTCAACGAACATTACCCAATAATTTCCGACGCTATATCGTGATTTTACCGAGGTAGTTCTAGATTCTAGAACATAGAGAATCTATCAATCTAACGTTTGATCTAATAAAATCAGAAACTTTCTGACGAGTTAGAAAAACAAACACTTGAAGACTGCTACACTACACTCTACACTATTCTTTTTGGCGACATACTTCAAAGTGACACTGCGCGCCGTGTTGTAGACTTCGATTGGAAACGACTTAGATATAGAATCTAGACCTTGCTTGAGTATCGATTATGAGCTGCTTCTTTTAATAGATGATCTATATTATCCCCTCATATTTTTTAACTCGTTTTATTGTATTTTTAAATTGATACACTATAATTATTATAAAGCTGTTGATATTTTTTTTAATCCACCTTTATCTTTCTACTTCAAATTAATATCAATCTCATTTCAATAGAGTAATCGTACTTGCGCAAAACTGCCCTCGACCTTTAATAATAATAAAATAAGAAGGGCATCTCAGTTGTGTTTTAGTGTATAGAATCTAGAATCTAGAGATCTAGATTCTCTAGATCAGCTACGGCTCCTTATCTAGGATAAAAACAATGGTTGGACCAGAAATCACAAGGCGTATGCCATACATTGAATCCCTCCGAATTACATCCTTACAATTCTTAACAGCAGGCTTGCTAGGAGCTTTTTCTGTGGGCCTTAATCCCTTATTTTTACGGCGACCATTGACACAGGGTAATGAAATTATTAGAAATTAATTTAGTAATCTAGTAGCCTACTAATGGACACAAGCGAGAAAAGTCTCAAAGGTATTTGAGAGATGTATAAATTCATTTAAAAATTATGCACAGCGTAGTTACAATTATCAATTAATATGGTTATAAAATCCTGCCTGTCTGGTTTTTTTCGGACTTTACTAAAGATTGGATGTATTTGATGTTTTTAATATTTTCGGTAACTAAATAAAAATTTAAAAAAAGCAAAAACAATTTGGTTTTCACGTGTAATGGCGACATAAACAATGGCATCCTGCTATAGAGTCCTTTCATATGACGTCACGTCCGTTTGTGATACCTACGCCCGCCGCCACAGTGGTGTACACCAGACGTAAACACAATCAGCTGTTCACCAGCGCTGGACGTGTTCACCAGCGCTGGACGCGTTCACTGTATGAAAAGAACCGCACCCGCGGAAAAGGAAAAATACGTTAAAAAACTTGAACTCTTAGGAATTGAAGATCCTTATACTGTTATTGACAGTTTCGTAGATAATATAAATATGTGGCCAAAATTTCTAAATAAAAATACTGTTAGTAATACTGTTTGCGTTTAGAATTTAAGTAGACGAATCTGATCAAATGCAGTTCTCGATACTTTGTTTCAGGTAAGGACAGTAAAATAATAAACTTCATTTTAATTATAAAAGATAGGCCTAACTATTAATAAAAGACAAAGTCAAAAGTAATAATAAGAAGAATAAGATCTAATAGTAGGCCTAATAATAGTGTTTTAATATCTAGATGTAAAATCTAGCTCTAAACATGGCGTAGGCCTAAACAAAATTCGGACCACAGATCTAGATTCTGGATTTAGGGTGACTGACTCCGCTGGGTAGACATAGAATCTAGAATCTACTTCTTTACTTAAATTTAATTACAAAATTTAGATCTACATTCGATTCAAAATACACCCATAATAAATCAAAAGTAGTCATAATAGGTCTAATAAAGCATTTAATTGTCTCTAAGATCTAAAATCTCGCTCTATAATCTAATCATTTTTTTAGCAAACGAAATTTTCTGAAATTGAAATAGATTGTATGACTAGACTTAGATCTAGAATCTGCTACTTAAATTAAATTGTAAAAACTTTATACAAGCATGTAGTTGATATTACTGTAGTAGGCTTTAATAAATTACTAAGGCCTACCTACTTTGTTGTCTTTTTACAGCAATATGTATCTGATACTGGACTGAGTTTAATTAAATTCAAATTCATAAATAGTAAATGGTCTACTAAGTTTTTGTAGCCTAGTAGTACAATCTAGATCATACCAGCCAACAACAAATAACCACATTATTATTATTTGGTTAATGATTAGGCTAATTTTTTTTTAAATCCACTTTTTATAAAAGAAACAAATCAAGCTAGAAACATTATAAGTGAGATGGTTTAGAATAATAACAATGGACCCAGTCTACAATTGATACAATTGCAGGTCTACATAGGGCCTACAGTCTAGTAGTTTACAGTAGGCACCTAGTGTGTAGCTAGTATACTAGTGTGTAGCTGTCCAGAGTTAAGATTCTTAATGCCTTAATGCTTTCCCCTGATAAGCCATGTGTGCTATAAATAACATGACATCGAGGTGAGAAATGTTGAAGGGAGAGCAGTGGGACTTTCCCCTTTGTTCTCCCTGCTGGGCCCTGAGGGTCAAAATTATATAAGAAATACTATCTCTGTGGGGCTGGGTATCACAGAGGTGAGACATTTTCAGGGGAGGGCAGGGCAGACTCCTCTTTGGTTTTATTGTGGGCTAGATACAGGTGAGGGCAGCCATCATGAGGGTTGAACATCAGTATTAATTTGTCTGATCACTTCCCTGCTGGATTATAAGGGTCTTAAATTGTATAACATGCTACCCAGATTGGTTATTACCCATGGATTATATTAGTCGTTGAAGTGTGGGTTTTGTAGAAGTTAAGTGGTCTCACGTTTACTACAGTAGATAACCTATAATATATTACTGCATTTGATCAGATTCATCTACTTAAACTCTAAATGCAAACGGTATTACTAACAGTATTTTTATTTAGAAATTTCGGCCACATATTTATATTATCCACGAAACTGTCAATAACTATATAAGGATCTTCAATTCCTAAGAGTTCAAGTTTTTTAACGTATTTTTCCTTTTCCGCGGGCGCGATTCTTTACATACGGTGAACGCGTCCAGCGCTGGTGAACACGTCCAGCGCTGGTGAACAGCTGATTGTGTTTACGTCTGGTGTACACCACTGTGGCGGCGGGCGTAGGTATCACGTGATTTAGGTCACGTGTTTGCAAGGACTCTATTGGATAGGCCGACATAATTTTATTATACACATTGTAAGCTAAAAATAGAAAACTAGGTCATGGGGTTTTAAATTTGCATTGTTATTTAAAAACTTGATCTGCAAAGTTTTGTAAACAAATAGTTATCGATCGCTAAGTTACTGTACAGCCAATCAATATTTGTCTTACGAAAGTGAAACATCCGGTTATAACTTAGGCTTGATGAAAATAAATAGAAATGTAGCCTTAAACTCAACAAATTATTTTCAAGTTCTCTGGATTTGCAACTTTTATAGCATTTATTCTAAAAATATAAAATTTCTAAATTAATTTTAGGCTTAATTTTTTATTTTTTATTTTTTTTACGGTCTAAATCTAAAAAGCACGTTTTTATTCCATGTCAACAACACTATGGAAGGAATCTCGTCAACTCGCTTGTCTCCATTAGTAATTTACTTGTTCCCTTACAAAAAAATCATTTAAACTGTTTTATTAGTTTTTTACTTTCTGGTATGTATACGAAGTAGATCTAGATCTAGATATTTTATCTAGAGAAAGTATTGTAATTGTGCAAATCACTACGTTTTACACCTGCCTGAGTCGAAAAAACATAGTTTTGCAATCTTGTCCGTATGTATGTAGATCTATGTTTTGTGTGTCTGTGAACGCTAGATCTATAATATCTTGAGTACCATTACAGCAGCAGCTACGTTGATGAAATATTGATAGTCTATACATTACCTATATTATATAGGCCTATAGGCCCCTATATTATTATAATATTATATCAAATTTGTAGTCCTGTTTAAACTTTTCAGCGATATACAGTAACCGGAAGTGGAACTTCTTCTACTTTCACTTTCAATTTTTCAAAAGCCTATAAAATAGACTAGTATAACTTGAGTACTGTTTCAGATATAATTAATGAAATTTCACATGAAAGTAAAAGATCTAATTCTCTGCCTTCTTTCAAATTTTGAGTTATTTCCAATTTCCCAAAAAGATGCATGTGAATTCATAAAGTACTAATAATATTCTGCACTATTATACACATATTGTTTGGCATTTACTTGGTGCGCAATTCTTTTTTCTACGAGATTCTATTATATGTTATAAAGTTTAAGTAATTAAGAATGGATTAAAAAGCATGTCTTTATCCAGCGTTACCATTCCCCGTAGTGTTATATAAGAATATTCGAGAAAGTTTAGGGGAGATCACTCCCAGTTTATTTATGTTACTACAACTTCTTACGTCTTATTAATCTTACTTCTTTACTATAGCTCTCTAGATTCCATCTAGATTCTAGTTATATCTAGATCGCAGATCTAATTTATAATTTTTAGTCTTTTGTTATCTTTTTTTAGCTTTAGGCCTAAATGTAATAAACCAGGAGTGATCTCCCCTAAACTTCCTCGAATATTCTTATATAAAACAACAGGGGATGGGAACTTGGGCTATAGACATGATTTTTAATCCATTTTAAATACTTAAAGTTTTAAAAATAAAATAAAATCTCGTTGACAAAAGAATTGCACACCAAGTGAACGTAAAATAAAAAAGTGCATAATAGTGCGCAATATTATTAGTACTTTAAAAATTTACATTAGTTTTTAGAGAAATCGGAAGTAGCGTAAATTACTACTTCCGGTCAACAGAAAGTACTCAAAATTTAACAGAAGGTAGAAAATTAGATCTTTTACTACATGTGAAATTTCATTTATCTGAAATAGTACTCAAGTTATAGGCTTTTGAAAAATTCAAAGTAGAAAAAGTACCACTTCCAGTTATCGGAAATTGCTCAAAAGTTGATACGGATCTATGATTTTGATAAAATACTTATATATGAAATTTCATCAACCTAGCTATAACGGTACTCAAGTAATCGTGTTTACACACAGATACACACACAGACATACAGACAGAATTGCAAAGCCCAGTTTTTCAGACTGGATTACGCATAAAACCTCTTAATTTTGATAAATCTGGATTGATAATTTTTGCCCGATTAAAATAAGTCCTCTATACTTTGGATGTGATGAAGGACTGAGGTGTAATACGGTGAAAATTGTTAAAATTTCAAGTGATTTTTGTGCACAATTACCAAACTTTCTCTATACTTCATATATATGAGAAAGTAAAAAGCACCTGAAAAATTACTATAACAAAACAGTTGATGTAGGTTTTTTTTTCATTAAAAAATGTCACTGGCAATGAGTTAAAATTACTCAGCACAAACTCAATACCATATGTTTGTGCTGCAGAATGCCAAGATAGCTGTGTGTAAAACTAGCACCAAAATAACAGTCTGATTTTTCTTCCTGATCAGGTATGTGGAGACATGGTCTGGCAGTTGTTGTTGGTTTTTATGGTGGGACGAAGCTTGACCAGTTCCTGGATTGGACAAGGAATCGAACAGTGGCTTCTATCGAGGATTATATGGCTAAACACCCAGAAGATTTTCCTCCTGAAGGTAACTAATTCAAAAAGAAAATTCATCTCCACTATCTAATATTTAATTAGCCCACCCAGAGGTGTAGTGACCCTTCCCGGCGCCCAAAGACAAACTTTTCAATTTGCACCCCCCCCCCCCCCTCCTCAAGGTTTTGATTTGCACCCCCTCCCCATAAGACTTCGATTTGCACCCCCCCCCCCCCAACCTTTCAATTTATTTTTCCAACCCATTTTCGCGCCCCCTAAGGTCGGCGCCCGGGGACATATGTGTCGTCGTCCCCCCTCACTACGCTACTGATCCCACCCATGCAATTTTGAACAATACATTATGGTGAAGACACTAAGTATTTGGTAAATAAAGGAAATATAATTTTGAGCATGTTAACAGTATTTTTATGTTTAAAAAAGTTTCCCTTTCAAACCTGACGGTCTATGGGGCAAGTGAAGTAGAGTTCACTTGTTTCTGTGACCTCTGCATATGAAGAGATAGTGTGGTCAGCACTATGCTCAGCCGCCTTTACTTTCCCTAATGTGAGTTAGGTACCCATCAGAGTTGGGTGGACTCAGGGAGGGTCTACTGACTTTAACCCGGATTCGAACTCGAGATTTACGGGTTAGCAGTACAGCTCTCTACCACTAGACCACTCTGTCCCATTGACATTTTTATGTTTGGTAAAGATTAAATGCTACTTTTGCATATTTTTTATTTTCAGTTCCTCGCAAGTACAAAGATGTGCTCCTGCCCTGGTCACCTGTTAGATAAATTTACTTATTTTTTTATGCTGTGCGACAAATATTGCAGTGTGTATTAAATGAATTACAAGATCTTATCAGTTAAATAGAAAGAAGTTGAAAAAATTAAAGTTTTACAATGTATAGTTATAATACCTGCATTTTGTTTTTGTTACTGTTTCTTACATCTATGTTTTTATTATATATATATAGATAGGTAAATAGATATGAAAGTATGTGGGTCTTGTATGCTTTACTGCACCTTTCATCCTATCACCATGAACCTTTGGGAAGTTGATATTTCTCAGGTAACGTTTCTGCGATTAAGTAAAAAATGAATTCTAGATCTGGCTTCTTAAATTTATTTTAATTTTAAAGGATAACTGCATAGCTTATTTTGAACCAAAATATTAACTTGGTTGTTTCCCTCTATTCATACAATTAAATATTTTTTTCTGGGGAGGAAGGGGAAGCTTGGCTCTCAAATGTAATCACTCGGGTTGGGTAGGGTCATGGATAACAGTGTATTTTAATGTATGGATCTGAATGCCGAGAAAAAGAGTCACCGCGCATTACAATACTAAACCTGTCCGCCGTCACACATGAGAAGGTTCGTGTCTATCATTAGAGGCACCATGCTACACCTTTTTTATGAGTTTCTCCACATTGTGCTCGCGCTGCTGGAAATTTAGACGTGTAAGAAATGTAGACAACTTTGCAGTGAAGCGAAACTCTGCGTAATGTATCCAAAAAAAAAAGTTTGGACTGGGTGTTTCTTTTACTTTTATATAGAAAATACATACTTTTAACTCTCATCCAGGGGAAAAAAGCCTGAAAGAAACACTGTATGGGCTTGAGAATGTGAATCGGATTCCCGACTACATTTAAAAACAAAATGGTCGAGAACATTCTAAGGGGGGGGGGGGGGGGGGGGGGGGGCAGGAACGACGACACTTGAAAATTGTGTGTTTGGGAGGGGAAGGGGGGGGGACACTGTTGAAAGGGATATATTTTATTACAAACGAGCCGACCTACGCCGCTATTTAGTTGTTTTATTTTCAACTTTACAGTAATTCATAATTTGTGAATTTGACACTAACATATGCTGCCACTGAAAATATTTGCTTTAAAACACTATCAGTAGCTCGTTAAGGACGAACCCCCCCCCCCCCCCCCCACCACCCTTCTTACCCCCCCCCCCCCCCCCCGTGTAAGCAGCCTCCTCTTAGTTACCTACCCTAAATTTAAAATCGTTTCACACTAAATTATCTACCCTTAATAGCCGTCACTACGATTGTAAACAATTAGCGTGAACCACAGCTCACCAGACTTGTGAGGGTGGTAACGATATGCCTAGAGAGGAAGAGAGGGGGCTGCTAGACGCGCTTCGGTCTTGGTGGTGGTGTCCCGCAAGGTACCCATGAAGAATATATACGAGCTCACCCGCTTCGTAGCATACGCCGCTATTTAGTTATTTTATTTCCCATTTTTCTTATTTTGTGAATACGACACTGCCAATGCTGCGACTGAAAATATTTTGCTTTAAAACACTATCAGTAGCTAGTGAGTGACGATTATCCTCACCCTCACTTTCCACTCCCCTCCCCCCCATTTCCCCCCCCCCCCCCCCCCCCCCGTGAAAGCAGTCATCCGGGACGACAGTTTACAGACGACAATGAAAAGATCAAGCAGAACATGTTATAATACCTCCCCTTAGTTTCAAATTGTTTAAAAACTAAATTATCTCCCCCTAATAGCCGTCACTAATTCGACACGATAGTAAACAGCTCACTAGACTGGTGGGGGTTGTAGCTATATGGTCTGTTGAGCTTACGTCTTGGTGGTGTCTCGCATGGTCCCCATGAAGAGAATTATATATATATATATAGAGAGAGAGAGAGAGAGATTTTTTATTACTCTCGAAGAGATATCAGGAAGACACTGCGTACACCCCTGCCAGTGGCGTAGCTAGGGGAGGGCGGGTGGGGCGACGGCCCCGGGCGCCAACCTTAGAGGGGCCCCAAACGGGGTAGAAACATAAATAAAAGGCTAGTTTTGAGATGCATTATTTTAAGAATACTACTACTTTATTACCTGGTTTAACATACTGATTAAATTGTGTGACACTAGGTAAAAACTTTAAACACAGTGACTGGTAAAGAGCGGGGGGCGCAAAATTAATAATTCGCACCGGGTGCCCGAATAGGCTGCTACGCCTCTGACCCCTGCACGCAAATGACATCCATGTATTAGTTGGCAATTGAATTTGGCCAAGAGTTTCTTCCAAGGCATCTCTTCGGGGGGGGGGGGGGGGGGGGGAAATTCTACCACACCCCCCCCCCCCCCGAAAATTTTAAGTGTCCCCCCCCCCCCCCGGGGGGCCTACTATTAGCCTGCGTCTACATCAATATTGAAAAGAAAAAGAAACAATTAGTTCCTACAAAACTATTCTTTGGACTTACAGGCCCGATAGTAGATCTAGTATCAACAATGACTCCTTTCCGTTCCCTGGCAGATATTTTCTAGATCTACTTCTATTGAAAGTAGCTTGGTCTTTGTGCATTATTAAAAAAGAAAATGGACTTCTTATAAATTAACTTTAGTATAGGGCCTACTATAGTTTTTTTGTTTGTTTGTTTGTTGTTATTTTTTTTTAATCTAAAAGATTATCATAATATAGTTTCTTGAGACTAATCTAGATCTAATTATAGTCTGGACAAAAATAGAATTCTAGATGGCTGCCGAAAAATCTAGATTTTTTTTTCGGACTACATACGCAATGTTGGCCTCTTCTATTTTTAGCAAGGGATTTTCATTTTAAGTATGACTTGCATTTTAGTCCTTTTACCGAAACAAAAGAAGTAGTCATATGTTATAAAGAGAATTAATTTGTAAAATACATTGTAAATTAAAATTATTATGCACTTTAGTAAGGGTTAATAAATTAAAAAAATATTTTTTTAAAATAGTGTTTATCAAAAACAAAACAAAAAAATATTTGTTTTTGCTTTTCACACATGATTCCTAGTTTTTGAAAAAATATGTTTAATATTTTTGCTTCCTCTGTTTACATCACAATGATATTGTGGTTTTGACAAGGAGTATAAAAATCCGAGGCAGTTGTTGATCCAGTTTAGATCTGATTTAGATTAAGGACGCTCATTCATCTTCTTTATTCAAGATTACTCAACAACAAAAATGGAGTTGCCTCATCTAGGACAACACTGCAATGAATCTACATGCAAACAGTTGGGTGAGTAACTCAGTAATGTCAGTAAAATTGGGTAATCTATCGTTTTGGGTACGTAAAATCGCCCGCGATTTGTAATGTGAAAAACAGGTGACTCCTTAAATTTTAATAATTATTTCACATTTTGAGGAGGATTTATGTTTTAAAAAATTCAAAAATGTTACCTTGATTCATTTATGTACCTGTTTTTAAACAATTGAATTAAAACTTTTCCGTAATAAATGAAGACTAGCGATGTTTCCAACAGATGCAACCATGCTCATTTACTATAGCAGCCATCTTGTCTAAGTTTTATTTTTATAAGCTTTTAGCGCCAGATTCAGGGGGAAGCCACTCTATTTTACAAATGGCTGCTGTTTATATATTATATAGCAAATCTTGCTCTCTGACACTGCTGTTTTAAGTTAATTTCTGGCCTATATCGATATATTTAGCCATTGATTTAGGTTTATTATTCATTTATCTATAATATTTGACACAAAAGTATGACAATATACTTCTATTAAAGCCTTGACAATGAGGTAACGTTTTCGTACATAAATAGCCGCGGGCAATTTTACGTACCCAAAACGATAGATTACCTAAAATTGTGACTAGTCTTGAGTAGGCCGCTTGGGCTTGAGTCTTATCTAGATCTAGATCTAGACTCTAGATCTAGTCTAAAATTCAGAAATCCAGAATCTAAAATAAAATTGATTTTAGTTTAGTTTTAGAGTTTAGTAGAGTATCTAGTGAATTATAGTTTTCATTTTTATATTTTAGTTTAGTTAGTTAGTATAGTAGAGAGAGAGTCTAGATTTGTAGATCTAGTAAAATGGAATCTAGTTTTTAAGTTTAGGGTAAAACTACATACTACATACAATGACATACTTCATACATTACATTTTAGTGTATTTTATTCTCCGCTTCACGTTCACCACCGGTTGAGCGTATTTTATATTTTTTAATGGCAATGGGTAAAGTGGTAAAGTTAGTAAAGTAGAAACGCATAATTGCAAGGCATGATACTAAAAATTAACTTACATTAACATGAACTCACAATGACCCTAAACCTAAAAATAAAAGCTAGTCATTAATGACATATGCTGATAATTAAAGTCAATTTGAACTCACGGTGAACCCTTGACTATGTAGATCTAGGGATTTTTCTCCCGCCGACGTTGACTGGCTATTTCATTGAAACTTTAATGCTTATTTATAATATTTTGTACCTTTTCTAAATTTAAACACATTCATAAAAAAATAAGTAGATCTACATCTATCATCTAATGATTCTAATCCTAGTGTTCTCCTAACATTTTTGTGTGTTCTGGTTGTGTTTATAATAAAAAAAACATGCAACCAGAGGTGAACGTGAAGAGGCGAATAAAATACGTTAAAATTGAGTTTTACCGTAGTTTAGATACTAGCTAAAGACTCTAAACTCTTAGTTTTAGAGTTAGACTTTATTAGACTGTAGATTAGTTTAGAATCTTCAATCTTAGATTTAGCTTAGATCTAGAACTTGGGTCTTTTACTTAGTTACTTAGGAAGTTAGTTGTAAAGTAGAATCTATCGAGTGTAAATTTATTTTATTATTAAATTACTATTAGATCTAGAAATCTAGATTAGATCATTAGGGCCTACTATTAGAATTAGTTAACTATATTAGAGTTATTAGGGGTTAGGGTTAGACTGTAGTAGGCCTAAATAACTAGTAATACTAGTAGTAGTATGGTTTAGTTCTAGATCTAGAGTTCTAGTAGTTCTATAATCTAGATATAGAATCTTGTAGACACCTACTGATTGTTATTTATTTTCTGCACATTATTTTATTTCTGTGTCCTTATCTCAATTAAACTTAAATTAATTAGTAAACTTGACTATTTATAGTTCAACCGTTGAATAAACAATGGTTTTTCATCTCCAGATTTTTTGCCCATGACATGTGATGCTTGTTCTAAAATTTTTTGGTGAGTTTTAAATCTAACACTGGTTATACGTACATACACTGAGGCCTACATTGCAAAAAAAACAGGGTTAGGATTAGAGTAGCAATAGTTTAAGAAAGTAGTCTTGATTGTCTAGGCAATATAATAATGAACCTACAATTTTAGGTCTTACAGTTACAGACTTTTTAAACAAGTTATGTTGATCCTGTTTTGCTGTTAACAATTTTTGTGTGTATATCTCTGCTTACTGCTATAAAGCAATGTGAATACATTTACTTTTAACTTTTATTTTCTTCTACTGATGTTTCACTCATTTAACAAAACGAATTCCTCTTCCAGTCGTGACCACATAATGTACAAAAGCCACAAATGTCCGGAATCGTACAAAAAAGTAAGTAGAAATCTTTAAAAAGCTCTTGTTTTTGCTTTGCTTATATTTTTAAAAAATCATTAAATATTTATATGAAAACATTTTCTGATACGTTTTATATATATTTCTACCCAGGACAACCAAATCCCAGTTTGTCCATTGTGCAACCTCCCCTGCCCAGTTAAAAAAGGAGAACTGCCTGACAGTGTGGTGGAGAGACATATAGAATCTGACTGCCAGTCTGATCCAGCAAAGGAAAGACGCAAGGTAAAGTCATCAACCACAAGACAGTGTTGACATAATCATGAACGAATGAAGTAAACATGGTAAATTGGCAGATGTACTGCTAAAGTGACAAATCGAAACTTTGATTCCGTGAAGTGGTTGAGAAAAAAAGACAAAAAATAATTGAGATAAGTTTACTACAGCAGGCCAGTTGGCTAACCATGGAGTGTAGTTAAGGACCTAAATTATCTTGCAATATAATGCTATAACTGCTGTTTGGGAGAAAAACAAGATGTTAAAAGTTAGGAGGCAGTGAAGCTTATGGTTACTAAACATAAAATTCCTGAGTTTGAAACCCCAGCAGATGAGGCTCAATAGCTGGGGACAGCAACTCATCTAGGATAGAAAACTCCAAAATCAAACATATAGTATATGCTGTATAGTTTGTTCTTGTATGGGCAAATCTTTTGAAGCAAATTCAGAATGAAAAGCATTATTAGGATTGTAGTACATTAAAATTGTTTTTAAATTTGATTTGTATACTACTTTTTAAAGTATTAGTTCTACTCTTTGTTATAAGGTATAGATAAGATATAATTTATATTTGCCAAAGTCACATTTTTAATATGGATTCTATTTTCAGGTGTATACAAACAAATGCTCGAAAAAGGGATGCAAGCAAAAAGAGGTATTTTTTTTACACTAGACATGATTCTTGTCTTACCTCCATGATGATTTCAACTTCTAAAAAAATTTCTGTATGTTTTTAAAAAAATTATTGAAAATTGAAAATAATTGAAAATTAATAGCCAGTGAGATAACTAAGAGGAAAGGGGAGTAAACATGTTCAGTGACTCTTTACCAGTAAGTTTTGTGTTACTACACAAAGCCAAAAACACTATACATTGTTCCATTAAAATCTGGCATCTGGCAGGCTTACAAAAAAATTTTTTGGGTGCATAGAACAGTAAAGGGTTATGTTGAGGTCTTTAATTAATATTCTATTTATTTTGATTAATTTTTACACAAAGCATTGGTGGATTGTTTATCATTTCATAATGAAATAGTGTATAAAGTCATAATTTTTTTTTAATTTAATAAAAATTGTTTCCTCTTTTATGATGAAATAGTATAAAAATAACTAATGTACACTAAATGTATTTAAAAAGTATGTTTTTCTGAAAAATAAAAACTGATTTGTTTTAAAAAATCCCAGCTTGTCCCTGTCAAGTGTGAGACATGTCGACAAAATTTCTGCCTGCGACACAGACATGAACAAGATCACAGTTGTCAGGGGTATCAAAACACAGGCAAGGCAGTCAGCAATTCAGGGTAACTAAACATAAATGTTTATATTTAGCTTAACATTGTTTACTTTGTACTTATACTTAATCTTATGTATACGAAGTTCAAATAGACCATATATACATTCCAAATACTTAACATTAGTACTTTGTATCTAAATTAATTTGCTTCCAAATGTTTTTATAAAAACAATTCCTTCTAAAATATTTGTAAATATATTTACACTTATGTTTGAATTTTTAAAAACTTTACAAACATTGTAACACTAAAACAATAGCCTAACTTTCTGATGTGATAAATCTCAAGTTCAAAATTTAACAATGGTGCAAGTCATAATAAAATTCTTGCTTATCTTCTCTAGGGCAGCAGCAATTCTCAGGTCTCAGCAAGCAGCTAAAAGCCAGCCAGTATCTAAACCTCAAGCTTCAAGTAGTAGCAATAAAAATTCTAAGTAAGTGGTAAGATAGTTGTTTCATAACAAATAAAAATCTATTGAGCATTGGTACATTGTGGGACGACTGGTTGAATGGTAAAGCATTTGGCTGCTAGTCCGAAGGTCTTGAGTTCTGATCTTGGTTCGGACTTGTGATTGTACCCAGCTCTGATTGGTACCTGATTTTCCGAGGGGAAAGTGAAGGCGGCTCGGCTTAGTGCTAATCACACCACCCTTTCATATGTCAAGGTCATATGAACTCCTATTTCATCTATCAAGATTGTTGTCTAAAAAGAAACTTTACCATCCATAAACTTAGTACCAGTGTAACATTTTGTATTCATACTGTATTATGCTATCTCTAAAAGCTTTCATTTTTTATATGTTCTAGGAAACAGCAGTACTATTCATGTTTGACTCATTATCTCATCCTTATAACTAAATATATTTTACTGTTTTTTTAGCATCAATAAACTTAGTACCAGTAACATTTTTTATTCATACTGTATTTATGCTATCTCTTAGAGTTAGAGCTTTAAATTTTTTTGTTATATTCTAGGAAACAGCAGTACTATTCATATTTGACTCATTATCTCATCCTTATAATTAAAAAAATATTGATGTTACTGTTTTTTAGCAATCCAAGGCAGCGAGCTAACCCACAGACAAATGTGTCCTCTATTCAAGGGACTATGGTTAGTTTTTTATTTCATTATGTCCACATACTTTTTAATTACACTGAGTTAACTCCCCTGAAGAACAATTATTTACATTAAAAAAAATATCAACCCTGTATTATTTATTTTTTTGGAATGTTTATTTTATTAATATCTTTATTAAAATGTCGAAATAAAAATATTACTACAGTATTGTATTGCATTTATTTATAGACTGAAGATGAAGCCTTAGCCAGAGCAATACAGATGTCTATGAATGGATCTGGCAGTGGAGCTGCCAGTAACTTAGATGGGTAGGTTTGTTATTCTAATAATTTTAACAGCATATTAATTGAGTTTATACAGTTTAAATAGATTATTTATATGTACTAATTTTTTAGTGTTGACCAAATAGACATGCATCACAGTGCTACGTAGTCTTTATTTCAGGTCTTAAAAATTCTGTGTATTTTTTTAGATACCTAGTTTGATTGTTTTGGGTTACTGTAGGTATAATGTATATGCAGTTCTGGTTCAAGGTGTTATTGTGTTTGTTTTTTATTGCTTGTATTTGGGTGTGAATGACAACCTTTTTGTACCAAGTTTAGTACATACTAAGTCTATTATTAAACTATTAATTATTTTAGAATGACAGATGAAGAGAGAGAGGATTTTCTTTTGGCTCAAGCTTTGGCAGCCAGTGAGCAGGAAGCCTTACACCAACGCTCACAGCAAAGTGTGAGGGCCTAGATGCATGTTTGTTGTGGCATGAAATTTTGTTTGGTTTTGTGAGGAGGTGAGTAGGGTAGGAGGTGGAGAGTGAGGGAGGCAGAGGTGGGAGAGGAGGAGAGTTAGAGGCAGTAGATTAGGAGGAAAGAGTGGGAGGAGGAAAGTGACAGATGCAGAGGTAGTAAAGGAGTAAAGCAAGGGAGGCAGAGGTAGGATAGGAAGAAAGTGCGAGAGATAGGATGGGAGGAAAGTGAGGAAGGTAGGAGGTAGGGGAGGAAAGAGGGTGGTAGAGATGGGAGAGAAGACGGGTAGAATGATGTAGGAAGGGTGACAAAAGGAACATAGAGGTTGGATGGAAAAAAATGTAGAAAACTATATTGATTGTAGCAATACAGAAGAGAGAGCTGTGTAGCAGTTTAGAACGTTCTTAGATTGTTAGAGATGACTTACTTTTTGTTAATTTAGTCATTTATTGTGTGTACGTTATGTTTGTTTTTAATATTTTATTGTTTTTTAAGATGTTAAAATTTTCTATTTTTATCGGTGAATTTTTTTTAGGAAAGTTCATCTTTTTTTACATTTCTCAGTCTGTATGTTTTATAAGTTGAATTTACTTCACAGAGAATACAAAGGACTGAGACGAGGGTTGTTGATCGTTGCGCTGTACAGTAGAGATGCAAAGTTTTATTAGGTCGTCATCTGCTTGTTCAACACAGTTGAGCCCAAAACATTTTTGCTGTGAATATTCTTTCTCTGGGTCAGTGGGATGTTGTTCATCCATTGTGATAACCATTTTCATGTTATATTTGCACTACCAAAAATATTTCATTAGCCATAATATGAATGTGTAACTTAATTTTTGGCTGTTCTGTTAAGCATTCCACACTCATTCCTCAGTGGTAACATATAGGGCTGTGTTGTGTCGAAATATTTTATTAAGTTACATACCGGTATGTGCAATAATTATATCTAGGTGTATTTTAAATATGAAATTATTATTAACTTAAATACCATGTGTCTTATTCAGCAAATGTTCTACTTGGCACATGAAATGTATCTTATACTATTTATAGAGTCAATGGTATAATCGACACATGATAAGACAAACCATAGTTTCATCTTGCTACTTTGGCATGGGTCAAAGGTGCTAAAAGATTCACTCCATAAAAGCATGTCATTGGTTGTTTTTAAAAATTATTTTTGCCCACCATTTGGTTTTTTTAAAAAAAGTTATATTTTCCCCTTAAAAATTGTAGCTGAGCTTAATAATAGCATGACAAGATTAAGTATTAAGTGTCTCTTTTTAAACCTATCTATTGTAGAAGATGTGATTAGGTTGGGTGTATTGTAACATTTTGAATATATGAATCATTTTAATAAACCACCATGTAGTATCTCATCAAACATATTTAGTCCAGTTACTATCACCTGCTTCCAGATTAAAAGTGTAAATATTCCTCTTTTTTTTTATTCAACCCAAATCCCTTACAGATCAAACAGATGAAATCTACTTCATCTGCTCTGTTGACTGTCAGGTCTGAAATTGTACTTAACTACTTACATCACTGTTTTTATTAACTGTAAGCCTCTAAATTAAATTATCCTTAATCTTAAAACAAGAGCTATCACCTATTTGTAACTTAATGCATTGAAAACTACCCAGTAAACTAATTTGGTGCACAGTTATGAGTGTGTGAAATGCCTTCTTTGTTAAGAACATTTGTGAATACACTAGATGATTGAAACCACAAGTTACTAGTTTCCCCAACTAAAGAGCAGCTGATTTAGCTATCCGATAATAAATATTGTTCCACCATTAAAAAAAACTAAATATATTTTCTTCTCATTACCTGACTTTTCTATTGACTAGTTTATTTTATTACTGCGCATTGAAAAATGTTCTTTCTTTTTTTGGCTTAGATCAAATTTTATTGTGCATGTTGAAACATTAGTAGTCAGTTCACATTATGTTGCATTTGAAGTTAAGATTGAACATTTTTATAGTTTTTAACTAATGAACTTTTTTATACCCGTTAAAATTAATTTCAATTGATTTTTCCATTAGTCATGTATAAAAAGTTTGAAAACACAGAATTGATATTTTAGTTTTACATTTTTAAGAATAAGCAGTATACCTGTGTAAACTTATCACACACACTTAAATTTATGTCACCTGTTTGAAGTATTTTTATAGATGAGTTTTTTATAGTTTTAGAAATCATTTTACTTTGTGGTAATTATGATGTGCTGTAAATGACAGATCAATTTTTAGTTAGAAATATTTACTATGTTGTATTCATTATGTGCTATCATTTTCTCGAGATGAGATAGTGTGTGATTTTACCAGACTCAATTGTGCCTTAAGATAAATTGCTTTTTAATACCCTCATAGTATTTGCTGACAGCTTGGTTTGGTTTTTTAAATCATTATATTACATAAGCCTGCATTTCAAAATTATCTTTTCTCTTCTTAAATGTGAGCTTTCCATTTTATAACACAGAGTGATAACTGTTTATAGGAAACATTTAGCAATGAACTTTTGGTCCATTGCTTGTGGTTTTAGAAATTTGTTGTAGGACTATACATCTCTACTCAAAATCGAGAGGCTAATTTCACCTGTTGATAAAAGACTAAAGAAAATTTTTTTTATCCCCAATGTGAACAATTTTTAGTTCATCCAGTGGCCTCACTAGGTCGGGTGTCACCCAACCCCCTTCAACATTTTACATTTTTGGTTTATCACCCAGCCCCCTATTATTTTATAATTTTAACTGGATAAAACATTGTTTTGACCATTTTTACCATAAGTGTTTACGATATTTTTTCAATTTGGTGTCACTTTCTAAAAGGGGCCATTAGGCTCCACCCCCACTCCCCATCCTTGTAATGCCACTGAGTTCATCTTAACAGCCTTCTTTGTCATCAGATGTGTTAAACTGCTTGAGTTTTGTTCCCTTATAAAACTTTCATTTGGTTACTTCCTGATCCAACTTTTAAATGGGAGATGATAAAAAACAGACAATATATTAACATTACAACCCCATGGGTTTTATCAGCTAACTTTTTTTTGCTATGTATGTACAAGGGAAAATAATTGTATTTTAAAGTATTATTTCTTAGAACAGCATAAGCATGCATTTATTAATAAATACTGATACATTTTAACCAAATAAAATTCTTATTGAAATATGTTGGATTTTGATTTTATTTTTTCAAAATATTTTAAAATGTGGTAAAAGTCTTAAAACCAAAAATTGTGTTTCTAATATTATCCATCTCAACTTCAGAATAAATTAAAACAAACCAAGTGTCTAACTTTATTTATCTTTAGTTTATGTATCCATATGACATTTTAAAAAATCATATTGTGGTGATGTATGTGAATTATAAACCTTCTTGCTGTGTTGATTGCTTAAATTTAGATTTCATTATAATTTTGATAATTAGTTTATTAATTAGTGGTCATTTGCAATACAACATTTGGACAGATGTTTAATATAAAGTCGGCTTCTTCAATAAAATTGAAAGTAATTTATTTTTAGTGCTCTATGAGTAAGACGAAAGCCAAATGTCTACGTGAGTTAAATTTTTTAATCAAGTTATCCCGCTTTCCCAATTAAAGGAAGTGACTGTCCTGGAGCTCTTCTAGGCGAAGACACGAAAAGACACTCGTGCGAACGTGACAGGAAGTGAGGCTCCCTTCGCCTCCAGCTCCCGCGTGATGTAAAACTGGCGCCTGGCGTCTCACAGGCTTGCATGTAACTTGACCACGCCCCGTCCCTGTTCGTGGAACCGTTAACATTGTCACCATTATCACAGTAAAGTCTGGGTTTAGCGAAGACGTTTAGATTAACTAAACCAGCGCCTTGGTTGTTACGTAGTTGCGGCAGACGATTTTCAACTTTCTGAACGGGGCGGATCTTGCAGGTTTTTTTGATGCTCCCCTCGGGCGTGTACATGCTGTTCTTGCTGTCGGTGAACAAGTCCATCTTGGTCCAGGAGTGGAACCCGCGGTCCATGTAGGAGTCGAGCTTCCAGTACAGAGACTGACGGTAGAGGGCGCTCTCTGTCGGCCGGGAGACGCGCTCCACCATCTCGTCCTGCTCGCTCAGGGAGATGGCTGGTGGGTCACGTGGTCTCGAGACAGGGGGCGCTGAATCTGACCCCCGCTGGTGTATCCAGGGCGAGTTTCGCATTTTTAATGAAAATTATATAATTTAGTCAGAAAATGTGCTGTAAGTTGTATAGCTATCGGTCCTATATAACAAGAACAATGTTTGCAGCTTCTAAAATCTTCGATGTTTACAATGTAGCACCAACCAGACTCGATTTTCATCTGTTTTTAAATTAAATGAATACTGAAGCATCGAAGCTGTAAATATAAATTAAAAAAAAAAATTGTAACAAAGAAAAAATAATGTCAATATAAATTAAATTACTAGTAACAAATACATATTTCTAAAACTTTCAAAAATACAAAAAACACATTTAATTGTATTAATTCGTGCCTACCTGAAAACCTGAGCGCACTTTCGGACCTACATCGCATAATTCTGCTCCAGTTCTGTGAGTTTAAAGACCAAACCTGCCCGTAGTCAAGTGGTTTTGGCAGGCAGCCGACTGGTGCTAATGGACCGTTAGGTGCCAGGCTGACAAGCCTGATAGATCACTGTATCCTGGGAGGTTCTCAAACTATCGATCACAATAGGATCATTGGTTTATGATGTGGGCGCAGTACAGATAGTTTATTGCGGTAGTCTTAAAACTAAAATAACGTGTCTTATAAAGTTGTATGGAGCAAAAAGTGGTTTTGAGAACATAGGGAGGTTTCAAGCTAATTATAGTGTGTCATGGAACTGGGTAAAGTAGTGTCCAAGAGCATAGGCAATGACTCCCCACCACTGTATATATATATATATATATATATATATATATATATATATATATATATATATATATATATATATATATATATATATATATATATATATATATATATATATATATATATGTGTGTGTGTGTGTATGTATGTCTTAATAGATTTTCTTGTCATGGGTAAACATGTTTGCTCTATAATCGAACAAAGAACATTACATAAGAATATGGACGTAATCGCATAAACATAAGGCTAATTAAAAGACATTCAACAGACATGTAGTTTGAGAACCTGATTGAAGTTTGTATGCCTGTATCATTACCTAGCCTCGATACAGATCAATAAGGCCAACAAAGTACCACTAAAGTATGGATCATTGATTGCTTCGGTTCATTAGTTATTCAAAGTCTCGCATCAGCACACAGAGACAATATTACATCAACGTATGGAATCAGCATCCAATTTACACACTCATTTAACTATCAACACACTGAACCAGCATCCAATCAACACACTCATTCAACTATCAACACACTAAACCAACATCCAATCAACACACTCATTCATCTATCAACTCATAGAATCAACATCCGATCAACACATTCATTCCAATATTAACAAATAGAATCAACATCCAATCCACACTCATTCTACTATCAACAAATGGAATCAACATCCAATCAACACACTCATTCAACTATCAACACACTGAATCAGCATACAACCAATTATAACACATGGAATCAACATCCAATCAACACACTCATTCAACTATCAACACACTGAATCAGCATACAACCAATTATAACACATGGAATCAACATCCAATCAACACACTCATTCAACTATCAACACACTGAACCAGCATACAACCAACACACTCATTCAACTATCAACACACTGAACCAGCATACAACCAACTATCAACACATGGAATCAACATCACATCCACACACGCTAACAACCTCTATTAGCACACTGAATCAGCATCAAATTACCAACATACATTTGAATCAACAATCCTAATTTATAAAAGGCCATGTGCGCTCTTCTCTCTCTCTCTCTCTTTCTCTGTCCGCAAAAAATTTTCGCCGGACATCACGTCAGAATCGGCAGCGATATATCGAGAACTTTTTACGGACTTTTGTTGAAAATAATATGTTAGATGTTTTAAATGTATAACCACAATTTTACTTAAAGAAGAAAAATAAAAATTAAAGGCGTATTCGAATGTAGAGAAACAGTATTATTTATGCAACCGGAAAAGCATTAATACATGTGAAAAAGAACGCATAAAACTGTGACGTCGCTATTGCTTATACATTAACTAATGACGTCATCTGCTGTGTTTTGAATAAAAAGAAATGAACTATTTCATTCAAATTTGATTTAGATCTACGTACACTATGAAATGTATACAATACAGTTTTTCCGGCCTAAACTCATAAAATTTATTTTATTTATTTGGATTCTAGATCTAGAGATTCTAGATCTAGACTAAATCTAAATCTACGCAATAACTAGATCTATAATCTAGACGTAGACGCTAAGATCTAGATTTAGACTCTAACTTCTCTAAAATCTATTCCAAAAATAAATTTCTATATTAGGACTAAACTATTTCAAGACTTATTTATTTTATACAAAATCTTTGTTATGAACTGGCTAATTTGGGATAAAAAAATAATTTGAAAGAATAGGCATATTCGTGTAAGTTAAGATTTTAAAATACGTGTTTCATTCTCCGTATTTTATAAGGTGCCTAAATAGCGGAGATGTTAGTGTACATTAAACCACGCAGGTGGTGCGGGTTCGAGACACAGCAAGTCAACTTGGTTAATGTATTCTTTTTTATTATGCTCGGGCTAAACTTAAAAAAAAATTCTTTTAGGAATCTAGATCTAGATCTAGATTCTAGATTGTCGGGTGTCCGATAGGGCACTTCCCGGCGCCGCAGGCGCTTCAAATTTGGCATGATCTTGCCTTGGTGCGACAGAACACGGGGGCCGGTTGGCCGAAAAGTCTACGATGTGGGGGTCAAAACTGACCTCGACTGACCGGTACCTTATATGAGCTATAAATCGAAAAAAAATGTCCACGGAGGAACCTCTTCATAACTCTTGAGGTCGTAGACCGACCTTCGGGCGAATTAATTAAGCATTCAAATTCTCAATGTTTTCGAAAGCCTAAGCGAAGCTGGGCAGCATGCCTAGTGTAATAGAATAAACCAACTTACCGTTTACAAAATTACATTACAGCATTACATAGCTAAATGAATCAACAGCTAAATTGTTGTCAATACCTTTTAGACAAGAATAGGTCTTTTCTTAATATCACGCTGACATAGTTAATGACATATCCCCCCCCCCCACACACACCTATATCGTCCGTGCTAAACACACGGCGCTAATCTCGTGTTACTTAAAACGCGTTTAACAACATATTTAGTTCCAGTTTTTGTTGAATCGCTCATCGCATGACTTCCCATAGACGCAAAAGCTGTAACTGGCCCATTAAATCATTTGATTGTAATGGCAGGTCACACACCATGTGACGACTTTTATACTTTAGGGGTCGTCCATAAATGACGTCACACTCGGAGGGGGGGGGGGGCTGGTAATTTTGTGACGACGTCTGATGAGGGGGAGGGGGGTGGGGGGGGGGGGGGGTGGGGTGTTCAGATGGTGCGACGTCACACTTTTTTCATTATAAAAAAGAAATGTTAGAAAACGAATTTTAGACGTTATTTCGAGTTTTAGAAAACTGTTTTAATAAATTGTAATAGGAATTTATTAAAATACTCTATTTTGACTGAGTTCAGACAAGATTTTGGAAAAATATCGATGTTTTTTTTTAAATTCAACTGCAATTTTGAGGGGGGTTGTAGCCTGAGGTGTGACGTCTGACTTTTTGTGACGATGTGTGACGGAGGGGAGAGGGGGGGGGGGAGAAAAAAAGCGTGACGTCATTTACGGATAACCTCTCAATTGCTTTTTTTTTAAAATTTGTCTGCGGTTCTCAAACTTAGAAATGGGCACGCATATTTCATTTTTATTTTATTTTTTGGACTCAATAGTTATGTTTTCATTTAGATCTCTCTTTTGTTAATTCAAGTAAGATCAATTCATTCATATCGCGGTGAGACTTACATAAAATCGTATGTAAATGAAAAAACAAGTTGTGGCTGATATAAAAAAAACAAGTTTTAAAATTTAATATTTGGATTTTGTGTTATCCAATTTAATTCTTGTCTATTTTTTATGGCGTTTTCAAAATGACTGTTCTACCTCTCATCCCACCCTGAGTTTCTTCCAGGCATCTCTTCGGTGTGAGGGGAAAATTTTTTTACCGCCCCCCCCCCCCCCCCCCAACGAAATAAAATTTATATAATTTATATAGAAAATATATACTTTTAACAGTGTCCGCCCCCCCCCCCCCCCGAAGAAAGTCTACCCCCCCCCCGAAAATTTCAAGTGCCCCCCCCCCCCGGAGAAAAAAGTCTGAAAGAAACACTGATCCCACCCCACCCATCCCTTTGATTCTCTTGTAGTTAGGTCTGGGCTGTAGATATTTTGCATATTCGCGTCAACGTCCGCCTGCTTTTTTTAATATACGATAGTGGAAAAATCGAATAATCATTCAATAGAACGTTCAATACATGCCTACGATGAAATGTTTTGCCTACTTTCTGCCTGCCGTCGCATTAATCCCCCTTTAAAATAAAAGTTTCAATATTTCGATATTTTTATACCTTTGATCCATTTTACAAAAAGAAAATACAGTTTAGCAATCGAGCGCTCGTTCGACAAAAGCCGATTTAAATATTATCGATCGCGCCGAATATTGATTGATCGCTGATTATCTTAATACAAAAATCTATACACAAATATGAAAGAGGCCGTATTGAGACCACCACGTAGTCGAATCACCAGGCACACACCAACCTGCCCGTTATGTTCCAGAATTATTCAAGAACCAAAACATACCTGGCGTTCACGGTGGGGTAATTAGAATAACGGTCTAGACGTCAGGTGGGACAGCTCGACCTCTGGGATATTAGACTTTTTGCTGACGTAAGTGGGCATCAGAGGCGTAGCGAGGGGGGGGGACGGACATATGTCCCCAGGCGCCGACCTTAGGGGGGGGGGGGGCAAAATGGGTTGGAAATACAAATTGAAAGTTTGAAGGGGGGTGCAAATCGAAAGTTTGAATCAAAAGTCTGAGAGGGGGTGCAAATCGAAAGTTTGTCCCCGTGCGCCGGGAAAGGTCGCTACGCCTCTGGTTGGCATCGATTTGGTTTTGGTAGAAAGTCTCGGCCGTTTTTTGTAATCGTGTATTACAATAGCATCATCTTTGATTGATGGTTATGGATTTAGGATTTGTAATCGATAGGCACCATCATAACTGTGTGTGTATGTATGAGTATATGTGTGTGTTACTGTAAATATCTACATGCATAATATGGGCATATTATAGCCGTCAAGAACCCTAAAGACCAGCCTGAAAAGAAGGGGGTAATTACCTAATGTGGCATTTAATTTTATGGTGTCCTGTAAGGTTCAATAGGTTGAGAGAATGGTAAAATAATGTATATGAACATTGGTTTGTGAATGCTTTTGTTTTAACAGAGTTTATTCCAGGCATCTCTTCGTTCGGTTCCTTCCCCCCACACACACACACTCCAAACGAAATACAATTTATACAGAAAATATATACTTTTACCAGTATCCGCCCACCGGAAATTTTAGTCCGCCCCCCCCCCCCCGAAAATTGTAGGTTCTCATTACCCCCCACCCCCCTTTCAGAGTTTCTTCCAGGCATCTCTTCGTTCGCTCCCCTCCCCCTCCCCACACCAAACGAAATATAATTTATACAGAAAATATATACTTTTACCAGTATCCACCCACCGGAAATTTTAGTCCGACCCCCCCCCCCCCGAATTTTTTTACCGCCCCCCCCCCCCCCCCGAACGAAATGAAATTTATATAATTTATATAGAAAATATATACTTTTAACAGTGTCCGCCCCCCCCCCGAAGAAAGTTTACCGCCCCCCTCCCCCTTCCCCCGAAAATTTCAAGTGCCCCCCCCCCCCGGAGAAAAAAGTCTGGAAGAAACACTACCCCTTTCTCCCCCCCTTTGGAGAAAATAAATCTGGAACTGGAGGAAACACTGCTTTTTAAGGGGATATGCGCGGAAAAAAATCACAAAATAGCTTGTTTCTCGTCATGATGGGTTTCTTGCACTTTTGGATACTTTGTCCATTTTTGTACATAGAAAAAAATAACTTTCACGAGAAAAAAATATTTTATGTGTTTGAATTACGATTTTTATGACCCTATTAATTAAAAAATAATCAATTTTTCCCAACCTTACAAGCTCTCTATGAAAAGTTTTATATCCGTCATTATATTGTATTTGACATCATTGGAAAGCTGGATTTCTCATGTATTTAATAAACTTAATTTCCTACGTCTCGGAAACACCCAAAGCTTACAATCGGCTTTGCAGTTTACACAGATATGGTACTTTCCTGACCTAGTTTTCGTTACTTTTGGCTGTTTTTCTTAGTTCGCAGGTTTTTAACACTAAAAAGCCTACTACTTTTTTATTTATTAAACAATGCCAACCATATTTTCAGTAAATGTTCTTGATGCAAAAATACAACTTTTGTCACGAGGGAATTGTGATTGCTTTCATAGAAAAAAAGTATTTGGTAATTAATATGCACATTTTGAAACTTTTGAATACTAAAAAGGGTACGATTTTTTAGACCTTGTAAAATTCTTACTAGGTATTATTTCAAAAAGTTGTCGTGACAAAAGTTTTAATATATATTGAAATATAAGCAGTTTAAATTTGATTGCTATAGATGAATAAATAAAAAAGCCTTAGCATTTTTAAAAGTACCGAAAAATTCAAAATGGCGGAGGTTTTTGGGTTTCCATAACAACCAAAATTGTTTTCGACCCTTTTTTTTAACTGTTTAATACTTACTTTTATATGCCTAATATGATTAAAGTATTCAAAAGGCTTTAGATCTTAAGCTGTAAAAAAATAGAAAAAAAACATAGCATATCCTCTTAACAAAACAGAACAAAGCTTTTCATAACATCGCAACTGTTTTAGTGAATAAGCATTGTAGGGATTGTGAAAACATAATGTCTGGGAATTTGTTAAATTATAAGACGTGATGCTATACGTAAGTGGCATACAAAATTATATGGGTTGTCGTATGTAAAGTTGTAAAATAAAATGTTTTATACACTCAAATCAATTTTCAGCCAAATTTTTAATGAACTAAAGGAAGGTTATCCACGAAATTTTAATTTTCTTCGAAAATAGTGGATTACTGTTCCTGTTGATTGTAATTACACTTGCTGACAGACTATGAATTAGTTGATGAATGGATTATAACCGTGGAGCGTTGTTAACTTTAGTCAGTTTTTTTTTTCAAATAGATGAAAGAATAGATGCTCAGAATCTTTTCACTTGACATTTCTAATACCGAATTTTGAAAGTAAAAAAATAAGAACTTGATAAAATATGTAAAGGGGAGGACAGTAGTAGTAAGCTCTGAAGTCATATGAAGGAGAAGAAAGGGAACGATTTTTTAAATTTTAGATGTGTGATAATCGTGGAGGGTGTGTGGGGAGAAGGGGTAATTAAGTTTTTTTTTTTTTTTTTAAAGTTAGATTTTTTAAAAAAATATTTCTTTTTTTTTTGACCCCAGAAACAAAAGGCCGAGAAGCGTTTTTTTTTTTTTTTTTCAAGTTTGACATAAAATTTATTATTTCTGCATCACTTATATTGCAAACAAATTACAATGAATTTACAAGACAGCAAAGTTTATGAAAGACAATCAACCGGGCAAAACACTGGCTTTCAACTTCTCAAGATTGTGAGAACATGCATGTGTTAAAAAGTCTAACCACTTGGTATCCTCAGCGTTTTTTTTTTTTTTTTTTTTAAGCATTTCATGTTTATCTTTTATTGAAATAATGTAAAGTAAACCAGTTAACCCAGTTAAAAAAAAAAGAAATACAATGTTTCTATATCCTTATTTCTGTTACTTATAATTTTTTTTAAAACTGATAACTAGGTTCTACACAAAAGTAAATATCAAATGAACCACAAAAGCATCCAATCCCAGGATAATTATTCAAAGTTTTTGATGAAATGATAATTGATAATGTACAGTGTGGAAGGTGACGAGGCATACTTGGTTATTGGTAGTAGAGCTCCAAATTCATTCCATCGTGAATTTCATAATCTCCCAGAGTAACGTGGTCTTTGAATATTGTGTACCA